CCATCTTCTACCCACTATTACGAGGAACTGTGAATTCAAAACGACTTTATAAAGTAATTGAGGAGGATTCGTTCCTCCCTCCACTTTAACTAACTATGATATAGATATGCTAAAACAAGCAACAAAAGTATGAAGACTTTGACTCAGTTTGTCAAATATTTCAACAATATGAATAAATTCTAAAAAATGCAATGAAAGCTAATATTTAGTGTACATCTTACTCTATCATCAATTTGTAATATAACTAAGTGATTTGTATTATGATTTAATAAACAAAAGTAAAAAGACTAGGAAAGTTGTAAAAACCTTCCTTTGTTTCATTGGTTATATAAACCAGTTATTGAATGCATCATAAGCCAGTTTTAAGGGAAAATCATATACTGACATTAGTTTGCAATACAACAAAAGGTTCCAATTAAGAATTCTTTAATTTACTCATAGATAAAAATTTTTGTTCTATAGTACACAGATTATCATCATCGTAAAAAACGGATTTTTGATGGAATATTTTTGATAGATACCAACCTTTTAAGCTTTGGCCCAGTTTAAAAAAATATGATTAGTTATTTTAATAACAATCGCTGCAGAGGAGGATGGTACCTTCTATATCTTCTACAGATTTAAACTTATTTTATTTATTTACTTTTTTATTTTATTTTAAAAAATGCATTACGGGAAAACCCTTTTGTTGCATCATCTTTAGGGAATATAAGGTGACAATGGAGGTAGAATGGCCTTATATACTTATTAATATACATAGAGGGATTCATAGCAAATTTAAATTAACTCTCTGGCGATTGCTATTCTAAGACTACAAACTTCAAAAATACAAACTTTTAAGTCTTTTAACTTTTTTTTCTTTTACAAGCAAACACATCCTTCACTCACCTCTTTTAAAAAATTTTCCACCATCTATAACTCACAATCGTTCTATTATTTCTATAACACCCTACTCTTTTAGGACTTCAACATACGCTAAGGTAGATTATACCAACTATACGATTTTACGAGATTTAATTATTAATTAAATTTTTTGCAAAATGTAATTTTTTTTTAGTAAAATCTCTTTGAATGTATACCACTCTTATTTTTTTTATTCAGTTAAGTGCAAGCTCCTATTTAATATTTTTTAAGAAGTCTTATTACAAGTCTTCACTATCAGCGTAAGGCCAAATCAAGAGCCTGTCGATTCAACTTGATTTTTATTACCAGATTAAAGCCAGTTAGATAACATCCAGCAATAAAAATCACAAAAATAAACATAAATCACAAAACTACAATTGAAAACCGAAACCGAAAAAGTATGCATTAAGGTCGGAAATTGTCTTTTAGCACAAGAACCCACAAACCTTAAAAGATACAAACTATAGACAAGAAACGCACTAACAAGCTAATCCCCTTCTTTACGTGACGTTTAATTGTCTGTTCTGCAGCTCAAAATATGTAAATTTTGGTAATTATGCTCAGCAATGGCAATGCTTCGTTGCTGTCGTTGTCGCTGCCGTTGTTGCTGTTGTTGTTGCTGTTGTTGCTGCTACCGTTGCGGCAATTGCTGTTCACTTTTAAAGTACTTTTTTACATCAGCAAACAATAAACTCATTTACCGTAGATTTTAAGGTTCTTAACGTTGATTTTTTATGGAACTTTTTTAATTTATTGGTCGAATGTGGCACATTTGCTGTCTGCCTCTTGTCGAAAATGTGTGTCAAAATTTATGTTGAAAATGAGTTTCTTTCAATTTTTTGCTCAAAAATAAATTTTCAAGAAATTTGCTCGTTCAAGGTTTGTTGGCTTTGTTAAATCTGATTTATTTTAATTTTTATTTGAACTCATTTTAATTAAAAACATTTTGAAAGAGTTTTAGTTTCAATTTTAAATTTGTGCCATAAAATTTTTAATTTAATTGAAAGACTTTTTTGGAACAATTGAATTTGGTTTCAAAAATAATAATATTTCAAATTTAATAATACAAATTTGTATTGCCAAGTATAATAAATCATATATTTATTACGGATTTAGATACCCTCAACCAAATATATAATTTCAGTTAGGCTTATCGCAGTCAATTCTACTTCGTACAAGTAGGAAAAAAAGTGAAAACTAAGGAGATACAGTAATTAATCTTTAGGGAAATCTAAGAACTTCAGTCGAATCACTTCGAAGTTGAACACATGCCAGCTACTGGACTGGAAATCTCCACCACTCTTGATTAACCTATTATATGCGTCAAGAAGGAACAATCTATTTATCTCCTTTTATAAATTGTTGTACTTGTATGTTAATACTTCGATTTCCTTTTATAATTTTACTCCATATAAATTAAATTTTATTGAACTCTAAACTTTTTATAATTGTATTTATAATTTGTTTAATTGATGTTAAAAGTCGTCGAAAATGACTAAAATTGTATTTTTTGAGATAATTGATATTCTTAAGTCATAAAAACTTTGTTTGAAATTGGTTAATTGGTTAAAGAGGTAATGACATGAAATACTTGGGCATATTATTGCATACATATGTACATATCATATATTACAACAATATGAGTGTATATATACAAATGTTTCATATGAATTTTATATTATAATTTATATTGTATACAAAATAAAATCTTTGACGTTCATTTTAAAATTAAAAACACAAAAATCATTTTATATAATAATTAAAAAAATAATTTTATTTTATATAATAAAATAATAAAATAATTTTACATTATAAAATCGATTCACTTCAAAAAAGGATCTAATAAATTTGAGCTAAAATTCTTCGATTGTTATTAAAATATTCTTTGCATATGTCAGTTGACCAATTTTATTAGTGTGGCCTAGATTAATATAGATACTACTATCTTTACTGTAGCACTATCCAAGTGCTACAAAATAGCATTTAAAAGCTCGCCTATATCATGTTTCAACATTCATAAATTTTAATAAGGAAAGTGAATGTTTTTTTCGTAAATCTGTAGCGATATATGATTTCATTCTTATGTATATATATATGTATTATATATTTTAGTATTTAATTATGTAATAGTGTTGTTTAAAAATATATGCTTTAAATATGTCATTAATATTCACATTTTTACATATCAAGAATATTTGAAACTGTATTTATATTCCCATATCAAGGATTTTATATTGATGCTGAAATTACGATTGCTAGACGATTCGACGATTTAAAAAAACTTGTCTCGAAAGCAATACTTATGTATTAATTCTCACAGTACTTACTCGAACTGCAGTCAATACTCTGATAACATTGACAACCGGTTAAAATCAAGTATCTTTTTTTTTGGAATATCATTTTTATAATGTATTTTATTCAATTCATTAAAAATTTTTCTAATTTAAATATGGTAGCGCACAATAATAAATTAAATGGATTAATTTATACTTAAATCAATTAGTTGAATTTTTTAATAATTTCATTTTTTTAAAGTTTAGGAATTATTTAAAAAAACATATCTTCAATATGCAATATAAATAATACTTTTTAATAAGTCAGGAGATACCCTTCATATCGATAGATATACAGTATATTCAAAAAGAAAACACCATCCCCTCTTTTAGCTGTCAAAATCATATAGTAATTTATAGTAATTTATTTAATATGTGTTCTTGTACACATATCCTGTTAAAAATTAAATCCGTATTACAAGAAGGTGAAGTTTAAAAAACTATATGTCTTTACATACAATACAAATTGATTAATTAATTGATAGAGCTAACTGATTGATGACGTTAATGTCGAAATCATAATTCTATCAATAAAAGTACATATGAAAAATTGAGAATAGAGAACCAAGTATCTATTAAAAAAAATAATGTATTTCCAAACTAATAAACACCTTTTAGGTCAACCAGAAACTAGTCTCAAAAAATTACATAAACATCAAACAACAAATTACATTAACTATATATAGGTATAGGTATAGGTTGGAGTGGCGGCCTTGTATCCCAAAAAGCCCACTTAAGCACAAATAAAGGCCCATTGTGGTACCACAGGAGTTACGTTATTTGTATATAGATTTTAATCAGTATACATTTAACGCCGAAGAAAGGTAACGACTCCCCTATTAGGTAAAGGAAAACCAACCTGACAGTTCTATGAACTTGGCTAGGTCCCTAACATTACAGGATGACAACTCAGTCAGGTCAGTTAGAAAAGGAGATCCAAGGATTTTTAATCTTCTGCTGGCTAGGGAAGGGCACTGACACATGAGATGGAGTACAGTCTCCTCCTCATCCTCAGAGCCACAACCTCGACAAAAGTCGTTAAAGGAGAGACCCAGTCTCATAGCGTGCCTTCCTATTACGCAGTGTCCCGTCAGCACAGATACCGTAGTGCTGAGCAGATTCCGTCTTAGTTGAAGTAGCTGACTGGTTCTTTTCTTGTCAAAGTTCGGCCAAGTCAACCTAGAAATCTGACATTGAGGTTCATCAGCCCAGTATTGCTTGGCTATGCTCAGGTATTTTTGTATGATTGCCAGTTTAACTGTAGCAAGTGGGACGCCTATATCAGAGAGGTTAATGTTAGGGAGAAGAGCACTATATATAGAAATTGAAGTTTTTGATGTTATTCTATTCAAAGAATGTACATATTGATTATTCATTATTAAAGTCGTAATGTTATTATAGTGATTATAGACGTACACACCCTCATTTAATTAAAAGCTTTTAAAAACTCTTTCAAATTTCTTATAAAAATAATTAACAACTAAAAAAATTTATTTATATCTAGAGTAAAATGATCCAAAATATTTGTAAGGGAATTTTAAACCAAAAACCGCTCCTAACTCTTATCTGAAGAAGTCATAATTATTTAGTATTTACAAATAGTATTTACAAATTTCATAAAAATCTTTTAAATATTGTACATTCTTGTATTAAATTAAACATTAAATTTCATATTAAACTAACTAAATTTTAATTTAGTTACACAATTTATATAAATTTTTAGTTTTTACTAATCATTACTATTTATAAATTATTCTATTTTAGAATTGGGCTTTGTGGTTTTGATAATCCAATGCGAGATCAAAAAACTGATGAACTGAAGAGACACATTGGACAAGTAAGTAAAAAACAAAATATGATTTATATTTTTATTTAAAGTATAAGAAAATATCGATTATTTCTTATATATAACAGATTATTTAAAAAAATATATAGTAGAAAAATTTTGAATATCATATAAAATAACTTTCTATTCAAATAAAATTAATTCAACTTGTTAAATAATAAATTAAATTAAAAATAATTAAGTCATTAAGAGTAAAATACATTTCATATCCTGCTTGTCTTTATCCTCGTTCCGAAAAATGTTCCGAAAAAAATGGGAAATTCTTATTTCTTAATATAAAAATATTAACCAAAATATAAAATCGTATTTCTTAATTTAAAAATATTAACCAAAGTATAAAATTTAATCTATTATTGCACAAAGAGCCAGTAACGGGTAAAGAGAGAAAAGCATTTAGCATAATATTATTAATCAATATATCAGCAAAAAGAAACCATATCTTTTCCGTTCTTCTTTGAATCACTCAGTCTTGGCTGAATACACAGTATTCTCCCTAGGCGGGATGATAAGAAGTTTTAGTTGAGTTTTTTTTTAATAATAACTGTTATAGTCTTCGATTCTAGAAGAAAACAAAAAATATAAGCTACTGAAAAATAATACAAAATATGCATAAAAAAAATTATAAAAAATTAAAGTAATGATGTTTAATTAAAATATTATTCAAAATATGAATGGTTGATTGCAGTGACAGGCCATTAGATAACTCCCATGTACCTCAATTAGCAATATTTCGCCGTTTTGCTAAGTAAATATATAACATATATATATATATACTTATGAGATTATAATACAATTAATTACATCCAATGAAATACTTATGAAATTGCTTAAAGCATTTTATTATCAACATTAATAATAATTTTGTAACTTCGTGTTATTGACACTAAAAGTATTTTATTGTTAGCATGAAATTATATTAAAATAAAAATTAACTTGAAATAGAAGTTAAAAGATCATCTTTATTTGAATAATTTTTTTCTAATCTAAGCCCTTCCTTCATAAGAAATGTAAGATTTCTCGGCAGTCTTTTTGTTTATATTTAATTGCTTATATAATTAATTTTTACGCTCTGTTCATAAGCAAATCAATCATAAAACTATCAAGCAAACCGAATAAATTAGCATAAAAACAAGCAACACCCATTAAAAGTAGTAAGAAATCGCATAACGCCATCTCCAGCAGAGAGCAAAAAGCGAACACTTGTTACTTACTTACTTACTTACCTACTTGCTTACGAACTTACTTACTTACAACTCAAGAGTCTAGCATTGGATTGTCTATAATGTCCGAGAATTCCCACAAGGCAAATGTGGAATATGAGTTATGTCGCTTGTAAATCACGAAAGTCAATTACAAAATTTGTGGCTGTACTCACCTTACACTCCTCTGACATAACTACACCGACTCGAGGGTATATATCACACCTACTTCAGATCTAAAGAATTTCGTAGTAAAAATTTTAGAAGAAAATCGTATTGCTGCCGTTTGAATAAAATGATTTGCATACAATTTTATTAACTACAAAAAATAAATCTGATAAGAGCACAGTTTAAAATATTCTAATCATTTTTTATTTTTTATTTTTTTAGATACATTTTATTTTCTATTGAACTTACATTATTTTATAATAAAGCCAATAAATAAAATAAATTAATTTTCCACGAAACAAGTATCTTGCCACGTCTGTCTCAGTGCAGTTAGGTTGCTGCCCGTTGAACTCAAAACTTATATTTCTTCGATTGTGACACTTGATTACCTCCGATGTATCTAATACCTTTAAAGCCAATAATTAAAGTGTGAATATTTCGTTAACATTAAAGTTGAGTTTTGCAAAATTACAGTTTATCAAATAGTCGCACCTTTTTATCTGCTTCAATTTAAGTTCAACTTTTCGTGTCTGCATTTTATTTAAGATTGCTAAATCGGAGCTAACAGGCAAGATTAGATTTTTTCCAAACGAACTTTACGTGCAAATGTGATTATGCGAAAGAAAAAAAATTACTGAATATTAAAAGAATATATTGATTTGAGTTAGAAATCTTTACGAATTTTCCATAAATAGTTTTTAGTTGACAAGTCAATAACTAATATTGATTACTTTTGACAATAACGACAAATCTTCATTTTGTGGATGACATTTTAAACAACATTAAAAAAAGTGATCCTCAAGAATTAGATAATTTTAGCATAAAATAAAAAATTCATACTTTAATGTTAACAGTTCAATCGTGATAATGATCACTAAGGAGGGAAAAACTTTATAAACTGTATTGAACACTTAAAGAAGTACCCTCTTATGAAAACAGTAAGATGTCCTTTATAGCCTTTGCTTCCAATTGTCATTAACTTATAGCGGTAATGTAAAAGTCCAGATAAAGTCTTAGAAAACAATTGCAAAAGACTATAATTAAATAATCTTGCCATAAGTTAAATAAAACTATAATACTTTGGTATTAGAAGTCAAATTATACCTACTTCTTTCTAAGCAATAAAGTTCTTTTTAGGCATGAGACCAGACTTTTACTTTTTCGGTTTTGATGCCATAATTAATTCATCGACAGCAACAATTACATGTCAGTTCTCTAGATGAACCAAAAAGATTATTCGCAATCATATTTGCCTCAAGAACAATCGACATTGATATGTCAGTATCTCCACTTGGACCATAAAGATTATTCGTAAACATATTTGCCTCAAGAACTATCGAACAATATAACCTAACGACCTGAAATGCTAAGACTTCAAGTATTCTATCATATCCTATCATAACCACTACCTATTCACAAACTCGAATTTGTTGAACTAAGATAGGTGTAACTGTGCTGAATACCTCAGTTGTATATAATTCATTGAGAAATTGCACTTAACAGCTGTAAAGTTCAGTAATAAGGATTATTATGTCTTAATATATCATAAAACATACTGATTTTTTGTTAAAAAAATTGGCTAAATATACCATGACGTGCGGGAAGTTTTAATGGGTTACCTTTTTGCTACATAATGGGTAACCATTATTTGCCAGTAAAAGTTTATGATGACGAAAGTGTAACGAACATATATTGAGTGGTTTCAATGGTTTCTAAGTAGTGATTAGGTCATCAAAAAATAAGCCAGGCAATCAAAAATTTTTTACTTGGTAGACCAAAAATTAATTTCAAACATTAAAGAACTGATGAACGAAGAACGAAGACAAATTCATTCGAACTCTCTTGCTTCGAATTTGTTGTCCCCTTCAAATTCAGGGAGAACTACCTAAATTATAAATTATCATGACTTATATCTTATATATCAAAAAATTGTAAAATGTGATATGTTAAAGAATATATATTAAATTTAAATTAAATTGATGAATGAAAAACACGGATTCACGTGCAAAAAAAACTCATAAAACCGTTGGCTGTGACTAAATCAAAAATTTTCAAGTGGTAACCTAAATAAGATTTAACCAAAATCAGGAAACTTGAGTGCGTTACAAAGCAAGACGTCGAAGAATGCCGAAAGACGGACAAAGACTATGTTATGTCTTAAATAATGTTATACAAAAAGTTTTGTATCAAAATGAAAAAACATTAAAAATGTATAGAAAAAATGTAGTATGTTATCGTCCACTATGAGCTGTTAAAAACTGTTGAACATATTACGAAACAGCTATATAGAAAGCAATTGATTTGGTTTAACGGAGCTTTGACTGAAAAAAGACTCAAATATATAACTAGAGACGAATTCGTTTTATTTCGTCAGGAAAACACAAATCCACATACTGCTGTACATGTTAAAAACCATCGCGTTAATAGAGAATAGAAAGTTCCACTTCTGTCTCTGTATAGCCTAAACCTCGTCTCTTCAGACTATCACCAATTTTATTCAATGCCAAATTACCTCCTTGGAGTATAATACATTTCTATCCATGGTATTTAAAATTACCTCTATTTATTTCTGACTTCAATAGATGACTGGTCATTTTAGAAGGAGTTCATAAAATGGAAGAAAGATAGAAAAATCTTCCGATGGATAATACTTTGAATGGTACATTCTTAAGACAAGTTATCAAAAAAAACATTCTCATTAAAAAAGTTCGATTCTTAAAGTGCACTGTCAATATATAATCACCTCGTGACTTTATCGAATCGTATTAATTCATGTATTTTTTTAAAGTACTCTTTTTTTAGATGCCAAAATTTGATTTAAATGATATGACTTCATATTATAATCCTAATATAGTGAAATCCCTATTTAAGTACGTAGGGCATCAAAACCTTATCAATGTGTTATCTTTCGATCCACATCAAAAAATTAAATTATTTTATAATGTTAATTATTTTTTCCGAAAGCTACGCTTCTTATGATGACAAAGAACGTATTTTTTTTTTAAATTAGAAGGGTTCGAATAGAAAAAAAAGACAAAAAATTTTAGTTAATTTATTGAAATTTAGCTGACCAGCGTTTCAAAAATTCAGTAAATTCATAAATAATAAGAAATTTTTGTTGTTGTAATTCACTACTGTTAAAAAATCGATTCTACTTATTGAATCTATATTTCTTATCTAATTTATGTTTTTAATTTTCTTATCCATTTTCAGGGTGTCAAAATAAAAATGGATGATGCCGGCAATATACTTGTCCGTCGCTATGCCAAAAGTAATGTGTACGTCAAAAGTACCGCCAGCAATGCAAGTGAAGAGACTTCAATTGGTGCTGATATCTTAAAGTTGCCAAATCAAGCATTAGAAAGTGAAAAAATAGTCAAGGTAAGAGTCAAGAACATCTCTAAGATTTATTAACAGCAATAAATAAAATCTTTATAATTTTTTTAATTGTTTTTATAGTTGTTTTTAATTTTTTTATAACCAATAAACCTATTTTTTAATAAAACTCGTATTAACAATAAATTTTATTCTCTATTTTTTTGAATAGTTATTCGACATGAAAAAATTCCAGTCGAACGTTATTCGTGAACTCCGACGCGCTTATCCTGATCGTCGTCGCTTAGAGACTCAATGCCTTTCGGCAGTGGCCTTTGTCAAGTCTGAGAATGACATTTTGGAGTGCCCCATATGGGTGCTCATTGTAAATGTGGTAGCTATGGACATGCTGAAGAGCAAAATGCCACCAGGTAAGCAATGAAAAGTAACAGAAGCGTACCAAGAGCATGCAAGCAAAACCTCGCTTTGAATCGCAATGAATCAAGTTGAATCAAGTTGAATATGCATGATGCACACGAATTGCAAATTTGAGATTTCATTTTGAGATTTAATTATTTTTTTTATTATTATTTTATTTTACTGGCCGCTTCAATCTGGCTTTGTGTTTAAAGCAGTTCAAGGTTTTTTCATAGGTTTTATGCTTTTATCAAAATTATGTGTTGAAGTTGATAATTGACGTATGTGTATTGTTGATGAACGTCTGTGTAATTAATTAGAAAACTTGTTGCTAAAATAAAAAAATTATAAAAACTGAAAAATATTTAATAATAAAATATGCATTACAAAGTATAACAAATATTTAAAAAAAAATACATTTCAAATGCGCCAATACGCGGCTGTCCAAGCACGGCCCACAGGGGTTATGCGGCCCGCGATAATTTTCTAATCTACCACAATTAGTCATATTTTTCTTTGTTATATTTTGGTAAAATTATATTATTTTATTTTAGTGGTATTAATCTAGGTGGTTTTAAACCCAACATTTTCCACGGCAACAAAATGGGTCAATAGACCTAAGCGGATCCCATATGGATCGCCGATATCACTTAACCTAACATAAACTATGGTATTAATAGTAATAAATGAATTAATAATGTTGCATTAGCAAAGACTTTATTATATATTTCTGTACATTTCATGTTTAAAAAAATCGTTTGTCGTATGGCAACAACTAATATTAATAATGTTAATATTAATAGAATTGTAAAAGATAAATTAATGAAGATATAGTAAAACTAAATTTAACATTATCGCCACATTTTTATTTTTCACCGGAAAAATTATAACGACATATATTTATTTTTATGGCTCTCTATTCAGTGATTTGTATTAGCCGGCGGTCTTGTCTGGTCTGCACAGACCTAATCTAATATATACGACTTAAAAAATACAACTCTTCGATTTATATTTTCTTCATGAAAAGTAAATAATTTTTTTTCATTTTATATTCTTTATTTCAAGTACAACGTCCTATGATGGTTGATATCAAAAATCGTCCACGAATTCCAATACCAGATGAGGATCCATACAGCGTAGCTGGAAATGCAAGCGGTGGCAGTTCAGGCAGTTCTGGTTTCGGTGGTAGTGGAAATAATAGCCACCAACAGTCAGTTAATGGTAGCATTGTAAATGGCAACAGCAATAATTCCAGTAGCATCGGCACTATGCAATTAAATGGCAACAGCAATGGCAGCACTGGTGGACATGTTGCAGCTACACGCGAGCAACTATTGCTACAGACTCAACAACTGGCACACAAACGCAGTGAAAAGCCACCAAAACTACCACCAAGGGATAATATATACTCACATGATTTGATTCCAAAGGTATGTAATTGCTTTATATTTAAACTATATAACAATTTTTTATTAATTTTCTATAAAAAAATAATTTCGTTAGATAGTTTTAAACAATTTTGTATATTATGTATATTATAACAAAGTACCGAATAATGGTACTATATACGGCAACTAACAATACATAGTACATATAAAGATACATTCGATAAATATGGAATATCAAGCCACCTCCTATTACTTACTTACTTACTTATTTGGCCATAAAAACCCGTTACCGGGTTTCGGCCTGACGCAACCCACCTTCCATAGGCTTTTTTTAATTGGAACATAAACCTATCGTTTATCAATTAAATTTATCAACTCACTATTATTATACGTATATTGTTTTGTTTTTATTTAATCTTTTACTTATTATGTGTTTATAAACATTTTTCATTTATTAATTTATTACATATTCATTCATTCATTTATCTACTTATTACATGTGTATTTTTTATTTATTTTTTATTCACGCTATTACTCATCTATTTATTATTGCTTCCTTTGTCATTATTTCGTTTATATCAATTATTTATTTATTTAATTTATTTACTCATTCATTTATTTTATTATTCATTATTATTCATTTATTTATTATTTCTTACGTATTTTTAATATTTTTTTTATGTTATAAGCGTATGCATTTCTCATTTATTTATTTAAGCTAAATTTATTAATTTATTTATTTATTATATACACATTTTTTAATTTATTATTTTTTTGATCCATTTATTATTTATTCGTCTATTTATTATTTCTTCCTTCATAATTCATTATTTACTCATTCATTCATTCACTTATTTATCTATTTATTTTATGTGTATTTTTAATTTTTTATTATTTTTTTATAATTATTATATATTCATGAATTTTGTGTTTGTTTATTTAACTTAAATTCATTCATTTATTTATTACACATATATTATGTATTATTTATTTAGTACTTATTTTTTTTTTGATTATTTATCATTAACTTTTTTCATTTATTTATATATTTTGAGATTATATATTTTATAGTTATTTATTTAATTCATAATTTAACGTTTTGCATTATTGAAAATTTTGTTATAGACATATATATAGACATATATTTGTTACCACCTTCATTTGATTAACAAACAATGTATTAGTAGTACAAACCTGTTTTTATTAAACAATTATAGATTAACCCTACTATAGCTTTTCATTTTTACCTAATAAAGGAGTTGTGCTATTTGGCGTATGTACTAACGCTAATCCTGTGGTACTATAATGAGCAATTATTTGAGTTCAAGTGGGCTTTGGAAACAAGGCCGCTAGTCCAACCTAATCTAACATATTACTTGCCATTTGTGGGCAAATCTAGAAGTAAAATTAGGTAGGGTTTTGACCCACAAGTGAATTTTCAGATATTATGCTTTAATCCCTTTTCTGTGAATTTATAAATAACAACAAAATATAATTGTGTTTTTAAAACTACATATAATAAGATATTTATTATTAATTATTAATATTTATAAGCCCATATTCTTCATTGTGAACCTAATATATTACTTCATTGCATTTTAAAGCTTTACTTGCATATATAAACTTATTTAAAATGGAAACTTCATACTGAAGATAATCTTTCGCATAATGCAACCCGTCGATAAAATTCACAAAACCCATTAAGCATTAAGTAATCAATTAATACTGAATTGAAATCGATTTCGATCGAATAAAAATTCATAAATTAAGATTGGAGGTGATTTGGTCTCTTATTACTGAAGCCGAGTATTTGTACATATGTGAAGAACGATAAGCATGCAATCCACTTGTGTGGAAACTAGTATTTCTTGAACTCATAAGAATTTATTAAAAAAATAATTGTAATCGAATCGCGTGCAATTAATATTCAAAAATGTTGATGGTTTTTGCTACAACAACAATTATTAACAATGAAATAAATAATATATACACAAGAAAACGTTAAAAAAACAGTTTTAACATAGAGTGTTTGAAGTCCACAGCGAAGAAACATTTCCACCAAGAATTGTTGAAGAAGCAGACAAACTATCAAAACACTTGTACTCCAATAAATATGAAATCAATTGCAAAACATGTGTTCCAACGATACGTGCAAGCTTTTTAATAAAATCGCTGAGAAAGAAAAAAGATAATGACCTTTGACTTGATTCATGTTAACAATAATTTATTATGAATATATTATAGTATGTTTGAATAAAAACAGTTTTCATATCTTACTTTTCGGAAAAGGTATAAATGCACCATTGGAAGATGGTTTAAAGGTTATGTTTGGAAAGTAAATTAGCAACTAGTTCGTTTATTTATTTATATAGGTATAAACTAAATATATTTGTTTTACATCTCATTGGAAGTAATTACAAAAGTCCATATTAATCCTAATGCAACTATCAGGAAAATCTGACAACTGAAAATTTTGTGAGATACTTAATGGAACATCTATCCATTTTTTTGCTTCTATCCTGAAATTGTCAGAATATATATTTAATCATTTTATTCAGTTGTCAATGAACTAAAAAAAATTAAGTCAAACTAAGGTTCCTTAATAAGGTTCCTTAATGCTCTAGTAGCTGTTCCCTACTAGAGCAATTAGTTTCAAAGGTTGTAGTGTACTACTATATCTTTTAGTTATAATATTCAAGGAATTTATGCTCTGATCAAGTGCAATCAATTTTCTGCACATATATTCTTCTGCTCTGTCGATAACCCGCACTTCATTTATCTCCGTGACGGCTAGAAACAAAAAAAACCTACCAAAAAACCAAAAAAGAAACAAATTTCCGATTTTGATAGAAAAAGTAGCTATTAGGTTATTAAAATAGATTAAATATTCTATGAATAAATTCATTAAAACTTGATTTAAAGCATAAATGAATAAATGAATAAATAACTTCATTCAAAAATAAATGAATAAATGAGTTATGAATAAATAAATAAAATCAATTAGTTTTTATGAAACTTTTCACTAAAACCACCTCTTAGGAATGAATGGGAAATGTTTCCACCACTGTCCCAGAGAGCAGTGGATAAAAGTTTGTTGCAGTAATTAGACATGAAAGTTGAGATAAATAGACTTAGTACTTATAAGTATAGTTTTATATAAGCTACAAAGCATAAACGCAGTATAGAGAAGAGGAAGATGAATCCCCCTCACTCATCTTACCCTGTTATTGCGGTAATTATCAAATTATTTGTAGATTCTATAACCAATATCATAAAAACCACGGTTATGGAAGCACCTGATTACCTCTTATCGAAGTAAAGCATCAGATATCGGGGAGGAGGGGCTTACGGCACATATCTAACAAGAAGTAATCTTCTTATTCATATTTTCCGAGCTAGTCCCTCAAGTAGTTCGAAAGAGTGTTCAGATTAATAATTCGCTATAGTTTCTTCTAAAGTTTCTTCACTGTTTCCTTTGCTGTTTGAATAAAAATCTTGACTGATACGAGTATTCCAGCAGTTAAAAACACAAAATAAATTATTTATGTTAAAATTGTTTATAACGATTATCGTTATGGATCCAATAGGTCCATGTGTGGTCTGAGCCAGTTCTTTTTTCCAATTTTTTTTAATTTCATGTAAAGTTTATTATGAAATAATTAATAACATTAATTTAATATAACATATTTGTATTAAATAATTTTTACCTGAACCATGTTTCTTTTCTTAGCCGGACTATGATGATATTGATGTGGAAAGTAGAATCAAATTATCTCGTGGCAAATCAGATAAAGGAAAAGATAATAAAAAATATGGTAAGCCAAAATTATTATAACATTAATGTGATATATATATCACCAAAAAAATGTATTAAATATATATGCCAACATAGTTTTAATCTCTTTAGAAATTTTTCAATATATATACTTACTTATATACTTATAAGTATACTTATATATTTATTAAGCATAATTAATCGTCATTGCTTTCAGATGATCCTTACTATTGTGGCTTACGTGCACGAGTACCAAATTTCGTAAAATCTTCAAAATCGGCCAAAGACCACAAAGATGGACATCCTTTGAACAGCAGCAGCAACAACGGTAGCAATAATGCCATGAGCACACTCTCACAAAAGAAGACTTCGATGATGCACATGCCAATGCATGCACCGACTCCACCACATATGCATCCACACCACATACAACAGCAACAAATGATGGCAGTAGCAGCAGCACATGCAGTACATCATCCAGTAGCAGCACATCATCACCATCACCAGATGTGGCCATCACGCAATTTCGACAATAATGGCGCTTTAGGTATTTATAATTCAATAACACCGACCTATCACGTGGACCACGCGTACAATCAAACTATCGCGGACTCTATGCACGGACATGGACGAACTAATGGACATATAAATGCACAAGCAACAACACATGCACATTTACCCAAACAAATACAATATCGACAACACCATCGGCATCATAGTCGTAGCTGTAGACGTACACAGCAACAGCCCCCGCTCTCACCGCCCAGTCGCCCACGCACTAGCCATAAGCAAGTAAATTGTAACTGTGTTAGTTGCTATACATTGGCACCACTTTTTGGTGCAGTCACACCAGCTCGACCTCCACGTAGTCTTAGTCAACAGCAACTACGTCAACATCATCTGTTAAGCGGTAGCTTGAATGAAGCACCACCGCCTAAGGGGCTAGTTAAGTGGTGCAGTGAAAGCGATATATCCGAACTAGATCGCAGTGGCTTTGACGATGATTATGATTATAGTAAAAACTATGCTTACTATGGCAACGAACAAAGTTGCAGCTACGATGAAGACTTTGACTTTGACTTGAATATGGATTTTGAGGATGATGTAACCTACGCACGTCGCTTTACAAAACCAACGCTGAAGGAACATACCTACAAGGATCACGATGTAAAGCATAATGGCGAGTTTATTTATGGCAATCGCAGGAATGAAGAACTCAGTTTAAGTGACATATACTTAGATAAAACTAAACTCAGACAATTACGTTCACCAGCGCCACCACAACCACCACAGGAGTTGAGCAATTCAAACGAAAATGTGAAAAGAAATGGCACTGCACTCTTGACCACACGCAACAAATCACATTCTACAGAAAGTTGTTTCACTGAACAGCCAAACGAAGAAATTGCGTACATGTATGGAGGACGGAAACGTATAACCAAAGTTCCTTCAGCTGCGAATATATATGACAGAGTCCGAAACTCTATTGATTCGGATGGCACTTATGCTAGCGCAAAGTTTAGCACGAATCTAAAATCAAATGAACAACGGACTGCTAATTCGACAATGACGACTCAAAAGAGTAATGATTCAAAGAGCTCAAAGCCATTATTGCCAGCTCCATGTTGGCGTGGAAAACGCGCTGAATCCTTTAAAGAACCAAATAAGAATGTCAAAGAGCAAAAGAAAAGTTTCATTAGTAATATATGTTCGGGAACAAAAATGAAAACCTTAGAAGCAAACTCGCAGCAACAAAAAAATAAATCTGACAACAATAACAATAATAAAAACAAAAATAATAATTTGAATATCAACGAAAAAAACAAGCAAATTACAACAGCCCCCACTACGAACCCATCAAATAAAACGACTATGAATACCACAGTAACTGCCCAGGCAACGACAGCTAAAACAAACACTGACAAGGCGACTCAGGCAAAACACATACTGCAACAACAACAACCGCAACATCAACATCAAAGAGTTAGCCGTCTTGACATTAGTGACATGGAATCCATTTATGGTTATCTGAAACCCAGAAAGCCACGCAGTCTGAGTCTTAAGAAAATTCAAATTCTCGACTATTAAAAGAGAAGAGATTATGTGTAAATGTTAGAGATGATGGGGTTAATCGGGGTAGTGCAATAAATACTCGTACATATTTAAAAGGTCTTTTTACTATGTGTTGTTGAAACCCACCTATAGAGTTATATAAATGCTGTAAATTTATATATATGCTTAACTTAATATATATCCAATCCTCCCAGTTAAGAATTCCCTTGCCATAATTTTGTAGACCCCGACGCAATAAAAAAAATAATACTTAATGCTGCTTGTTGTTGTAATGGAACAATTTTTTTTTAAAGACTAATACTAATTCAATGGTTTAAAGAACAAGTAATGTCATTTTTTCTTTATATATACATATATATATTATTATATTATAGTATTTATTCATAAAGACACCAGTTTCGTGAAAGAGAATTTAAAGTAATTTAAATATTTTTCTCTTAGATACTATAAGTAATAATATTTTTATATATGGGTGTAAATAGGTTATACCTATGACATTATCCTGGACTTGGACGTTACAAATATACAAAATTTTTACAATATTTATTTAATATAATTAAATACTATATTTATATTTTATTTGTGTCTCAAATTATTAAAGTATTTTACTAATAACTATTTAAATTTAGATCCTGAATTGGAATCCCCATATAATCATATTTATGGACGCGTTCCACCATTACCAACACGCGGTTATGTACCAACTCCACGTACCATGTACATTGGTGAATGGGATTAAATGCAGGAAAAATTAAATTTTCTTCGGTAGAGTTCACAACAATAAATAATTATTACAATAAATTAATTTTAATAATATAAACTAAGAATTATTATATAAAATTTATTACATATTTTTTAATATATATGCATATATAAACATATATATGTCTTTATAATAATAGATAAGTTCATATCTGTCTGTATATTTTTTTATATGTAATATATAAAAATAATAGAAATTTATTGATTTCTTTAAAATATAATAATTTTATATGCTTAATTTTAATTGTTTGCAATTAAAATTTTATATATAAAAATTATAAATTCTTAAACACATATTACTGAAATTTTTATTTTATAACGCCATTTATTTTTTCAAAAGAATATTGTATAATTACTTGAAACATGTTTTATTAGAATAATTCATTTTATACAAATAAAAATTTTCATCTTTAGGTTTAGTTAAAAATCATTAATATAATAAAAAAAATTGTATTAAGTAAATAATGAGGAATTTGAAGTATAGTCGTTGGTATATAAGAAGTTTTATTATGAATAATTCTACTCAATAATTAAATATGTAATTACAAATACATTATTCTTAAATATAATATAATATTGAAACTTTATATGTATATAACGGATATATATTATAGGAAGACATACTCAAATATATCCATATAAATATAGATAACATATTACAAATATATGTGTCAAATATTTAATATATATATTTATATATAATATCTCTCCAACATTTATCTATAAGTATTGGGACGTTTTACTGATATTTTCAAACTAATATGCTCAGAAATTTTTAAAATATAACAAAATTTATATTAATAATGAATATTTTTTTCTACCTTTCTTCTAAAATAATTAAAACATAATGCATATTAATGAATTAATAAAAATATTTATATTGCAAAAATATTAATTGTTAAAACTATTCTATAAACATCTTATATACTTTTTATTTAAAAAATTTAAATCTGAAACTGAAATCACAATATTTATGAAACAATTATAATTTAATTTAAAAAAAAACAATATTGAATATAATATATCTTTTACAATTTCTACAATGAAAAGAAAAATTAATATTATTTTAATAATATTTAATTAATTTTTTTTTTATTTATAATATAATATATATTTCAGAATTTTTTATAATTAAAAAAAATAAATATCTTTAATATTTATATTAATAAAGATTTCTGTATATTTTAAAATCCTGCTTTACTTCAAAATATTTTGTTATAATTTCTTAAATTCATTATACATATAATTCTTTATTATATATTAATAATAAGTAAACATATATATAAATAAGTGAAAAATAATGTACTTTTATTGAAAATTAAATGTATTGCATTAATAAATAAATATACCAACAATGCTCAAGTTTAATAAATAATTAAATAAAATATATAATTTTATATTTGTTAATATTTTTGTATTGAATAATGAATATTGTGGAGTTATTTGTTGTAAACGGAAAGTTTATAAAGCAATTTTTATAAAACTATATTTTAAAATATGAACATAAACCTATAATGAAGACAGCTCTTTCCACCTTGATAAATAAAATATATTAGTATACATAAAAACTTGATTGTTTAGACAGTTAAGCAGTTCATAAGAGAGAGGGAGAGAGAGAAAGAAGACTATGTACGTCTTAAATACACTAAGGTAGTATTATGTACTTTCTGAAGTTTTAAAGAATTCCATAATTTTTATTACCTATTATCGTATCATTACTGTTAATTTCAAGTTATGAACCGGAGTACTGTTATTTATGTGTATAAACTTAATAACTGAGTCAACTGATAACACGAAGACAAGTTTTCAATTTGATATTGTGCGAATATCCCTATATCTGCCAGCAGTGAACGAAATTGTCTTCAGAAAAATCAAGATTGTGTTTAGATACAGGTCAATGATGCTTTATTACATCTATAGATAACTAATCTCTTGATCTTTATGTAAGTTCACTGAACTTATATAGTACAGTAGTAATATAGTACAGTACAGCGCACTCACGTTTTTTTGAGCGCTAAAAATTAGCATAACTGAAAACGTTTAACAGTAGTTTTAGAAACATTGCTACAAAACAATATATATATTATATTTTATATTATAATATAATATATTATAATAATATATATTATTATTATTCATTAATATTATTATATATATTATTATATTATTATACATAATATATAATGATAACGGGTATGAGGGATATTTATATCTAATAAAAAAAACCATTTTCCGTTCTATTGTATTTTATTCTTAGGTGTTAAATTTTTTGTTTTATAGATGTTTATGAAAGTAGTTCCAAATTTCGTTTTTTAAGTATCTTATTTGATAATATTCTTAAAATTAATATATACATATAAGTACTATTATCAGAAACTGATTTGGTTTGAATTTGGATTAAATTTTTCCATTTTCTCTTCGTAATACCTATTTTTCCTGTCTTGCTTTCCATATCGTTATTTAATTCAGTATTAAACTTTAATTAATTTTTTTTCATGACTACCGATTACCATTATCATTGTTAATATCTGTTGGTATTTCTTCAATAGTGCTAGAATGTGTATTAGTACCCCTTTCGGTAGTTTCTACAATATTATCATTACTGTTTGACATATTTTCATTTAGGAGTATTTCATTGTTGTTACTCTCCTCGGGTATATTAATAATATCAATATTATGCATACCTGATACTCGTGTACGGTCTCTAGAATCTCCATTTATTTGAGAAGTCTGCGGAAAGTTATCAGTATTATCTATATTGTCTGATATGTTTATTTGATTGTTGTTCCTTTGTTCATAATTCGGGTTTGAATTACTACTATTTGCTGATGAAGGTTCCGGCCTGACTATATCCATTATTGGTACTAATGCATTTCTGTTACTAGGTTGTGCATCAATAGGATGCAGAAATCGCAATCTTCTTTCTCGCTCATGAATGTGTATCGGATGAAATGGCAAATACATTGCACGTGAAGGCAAATTGAAGTGATGACCATTTGAATTGCTTCGCAAAGTTAAATTACTGGCGTTATGCGCTGCACTTATTGGCATTTCAGAGGCGACATGACTTTATTTAATAGAAACACATACCATTTTTAGATTTATCTTTATGTTAATTAATTATAGAATTATAATTACCGAATCACTTGTTGACTGTTGGTATTGCGATTCATTATCGCATTTTGTCTTCGATTAAATATGTTATCAGTCTGTGTTGTAGCGTCCACCTTCAGTTGCGTTACAACCTATCAAAGGGTTAATTTACTCATGTAGTAATTTTAAATACAGATTATATGTTTTTCTTACAGGTTCAATTAGTTCTTGCCTACTTCGTTCCAATATAGTAGGAATATCATCATTCACTAAATTTTCTGGATTCAAAAGGATATTTGATACTTTTCCCGTAGACACATTAAGTATATTGAGAAGTACACAATCATTAACCACATGACCAAAAAGTATATACAAACGATTGCCATAGACGTAGCGTAAGGCATATCTATTATCATTTTCGTTCCAACCGTCTGGCAAGTCTTCAGAACCAATCTCATCATCCATTAAAATTTTCTATTTTAAAAACAAAAATTTCTTTAATATTTTGGAAATATTAGGAAATAAATAGTTAGTTACATCTTCCCCGTTACCAATACATCGAAAATTCATTTCACTTACTAAAAAGCAGTGAATCTGAAAAAAATATATATGATTATCAATTTATTAGCAGATTAAAATAAAAGACATATAAATATATATAAAATATATGCTGTGAATCATATAGATTTAGAACTGGATTGAGTACTGTTGATTATCTAAATCAAGGTTTTAGATTTAATTAGTATCAGACATATTTACTCTAAAATCTTAAATTGCTTATAAATTATAGATTTATACGATAAATATACGACAAAATATATACTAAATCAAGAAAAACTATTATCATTTTAACGATATTATAGAAACAACGATAAGTGTCGTTTACAAGGTTTTCTTTAAGTATATTTCAAAGCTTGGTCGCATGCAAAACCTACTGATAGTCGTAGATAGGTATTACTTACAAGAGTTGTTCTATTCACAGTCTGATATGATCGATCAACTTAAAAAAGTTGATTGTATTGTATTTGTTCACATAAAATATAAGCAACATTTATAATATTAAATAGGCGAATTAAAAACTCTTCTTATTAAAAAATATAATCACATATCTAAACTAAACCAATAACAGAGATATAAGTTTTTCCATCTGATGCCATACGTGCTTATGTTACGAATTTTATTTCATTAAAAATAAATATGTACTTAAAAAAAAATAAAATTATTTTATAATAAAGTATTAATTACTCACCAAAGCAACGATGATATCCGACTTCTTATTTATATATTCATATATGGAAAAATATAGCTCTTCCCAAGCAAGAATAAAGTTCTCGTTTGAGTTCATTTACTCTAATATTAACACAGTGGGCCAATAGGCCTTAGTGGATCCTTTTAGATCACCGCTATAACGTACTCTAATATGAAGGTACTAATATTTCATATACAAAATAAGAACAAATATGCAAAATAATATGGATTTGGAAACTAAACACCAAGAACAAAAATTTAAACCAATAGAACGGAAACTATATAATATATAATAAATTGGTATTATTATTAACTGTTTATTTTTTTCCAATTTTATTATGTTGAAATAAAATGAACTGTTTACTTTAATTTAAATCAATTATTTTTATGAAGTTTAATAAAGTTCTGGTAATATTATTAGTATCCTATTCTATATTATATAATCATCTTTAGTGGTGCAACTATCCTAGAATCCTAGAATCCTATCCTAGAATATTGGTCTCATTCTATCATTCTCCAGTTTCTTCTTTCCAAGCTGTTGCGCTGTTTGGTCCACAAGTCTATCCAGCGTAAGCAACGATGGCGGAATTGTCTATAACTTTTAAAATCCTTATTCATTCTACTAAATCTATTACATCGCCCTTGGAGTTCTTCCCTTCCGATACATTACACCTGTGCCAAAGTTTTATCCAATCCTAGAAAAATTAATAAAGCCGATTTTTAGGATGACTTTAGAAGCTCACACTGATTCGATTTTTATCCATTTAATCGTGTCGAAATGATGTCTTAAACTTAGGAAATCTTCAGAAATCACACGATGCTTAATCAGATTAATCACGATACGATAGTTGGGGGACGATATGAATTGAATTTTTGACGAAATGATGTCGAAGAACCCATGTATTATCTTTTCAAGAAAATAAGAACCGACTGCCAATAACAATAGCCTTTCTGTTGGCTTTATGTTGACAGTTTAGATCGGCGAAAGGTATTGAGAATACGTAACACCACAGTAATCGAAAAAAATTTTTGAAAATGTTCTTTTTACTTTTCATGCCACTTGAAAACATTTTTAATGGAATGAGGACTGAATACCTTCTCCAATATTCTCAATACTTTTTAATCAAAAATAAGATTACAAAAAACAAAATTTTGAGCAACTTCTTTGGCCAATACAACCAATCGTTAAAAAATCACTAAATTAACATCTCAAAAAATACATGCGTAATTATTGGACAAATTATATAAAATTTAACACTGATGTCAGTGACAGACCCGATAAATCGAAAGGCACCCGCATTTTTAATAAAATAAATTTTACAAAATAAATTTTAATAAACAATAAGTAATTAATTATTTCAGAAATTTTTAAGGTTTTATATAATGTAAAACAGAGTTTATTGTAAGGGCCTAAGTGAAGAGGCCTTTTAAGAATACAGACTCCCACTCGCCACACAGCAGTAGTTAAGTTTAAGAGATTTTCACAAACCCCCTTTTTCTCCTAAAAAACAAACTTCACATCATTACAAAATTTTTATTATACAATTAATATTAAAACAAAAATTATATAAAGTATTTCAAAAAGAATCTGAAATGTCTTAATTCCTTTTATTTATTACTTAAATATATTTTATTTATCTATGTATACACTCACAATTTTTAGATTCAACAAAAGGCATTATATAAAGTATTACAAAAAGAATCTGAAATAAGTTAATTCCTTTTATTTATTACCTAAAACTATTTTATTTATCTATGTATACACTCGTAATTTTTAAATTCAACAGAAGGCTTGCTAATCAATACCATTATTCTCATTTCCGCCTAGTATGCCTGGTTCTGAAACGCTACGATGAAAACTACTGACATTGTCTTCATCTATATTAACAGCTGCAATCCCATTATTTGAAGCAGATACGATATCATTGTTATTGGATGGATTTGACATATTGGAAACATTTTCATTTGGTTCATCAATTCCAATATTGGGCGAGGAGAACATTCTGCGAAGTGAGTGCAAACGTCTTATCTGCTCTTGTAATTCATTGTCATTATTTTCTGCCCAATTTTGTTCAGGACGTCTTCTTTGAGAATGGTTTTCCTCTATTGCAGCTTCAGGTTCCAAATCGTTATTATTTCTGACAACTGAAGCATTACGATTAGAAGAATTAACATTATTAAGTTGGGATAGCGGAAGTTCCCCGTATGTAGCTGCCATTCTGCTACGAAGAGCCTGTAGTCGTCTTACATGTTCTTGTATTATATGTGGATGGAAACGGTTTGCAGCAGAATTGGTAGTGATTGAATTAAAGCGATACAAACTTAATGGGCCACGGGTACCGCGAAGTTGATCAATATCTCTATATGCACCACTGATTAGTAGATCATTCATGTGACTATTAAAAATTAATATTTATAAGTACAAAAAATAATTAATTTTTAATTACCGCATAGAGGATGGCACACCACGAGACAAATTTGCGAGGCGACGAACATTCGTAGGAGGATCTGTTTGTGTTGTAGCATGCACTTTGGGATGAATTATTATCTTAAAATGAAACATTCAATATAAAACAGACTCAGATATATTACTTATATTAATAACACACAGGCTCTACTAGTTCTTGACGCATTCGTTCTAACACTGAGTGAATAGAAGCTATGTCCATCAAATCATCTGGACTTAAAAGAATGTTTGAAACTTTTCTAGTCGACACGTTTAATATATTCAAAACAATACAATCATTACTTTTATGACCAAAAAGTATATATAGACGATTATCATAGACATAACGTATAGCATAACGGTAGAGATCTTCATTCCAACCATCTGGTAAATCCTCCGATTCCATCTCACCCTCCACTAATAATTTCTAATTAAAAAAACAATTAATAATTTAATGTACAAATGTTTAGTATGAATGATACTCGAAAAGTTTTGCGCCTAACAAAGCTTAATTCTATCTAAACATTAATTCTAACTCCAAAGTAGATTTGGTACATAAAGAAGATGGCCTTCCAATTCAAAATAAAGTTCTTGAATAATAATTGTGTTAACAGCTAAATTCAGAACGTATACCTTGTAGTAAAAACAAAACATTCTTCATTTGGAAACGGCTACGTTATTTAAATCATCCAGTGATGTTGCTTACTACATTCCAATCGTAGTGCACTCATTTTGGTAGTAGTCAATCAACAACAGTTTGCATTTAAAACAAAAGTAACCATGCACTTCCAATCCAACAGTCTTCGCCATACTCGAAGCTTTTTCATCTTTCAAAAATTGTTATCATAATTATCTTTGTTGTTTAGAGTATAGAGAGTTGGAGTTCCCCTTTTAATTAATTGAATGAATTTAACTGGTGTAAATTTTAAAACAAAGCCAGAACATGCGGCAACTAATCTGCGAAATTCTGTTTCATATAATTTTGATATAATATTCAAATAATCTTTGTGGAAACAAAAACAGCTTCAATAAGCTCTGCAATATTTATTCGAAGAACATTCTATACTACTTAATGCATTTTGTCGATATTTTTATATGTGGCAGAAGATCGTCCAGAACTGTCTTCAACAACTAAGCAGTTAAAATGACATAACCACGTTTGAAGACAGTCCCCCACATTTTTGCTGTTACACATGATGACACAGACTTTTCATGAACTGTTTCTAATCAAGACTTAATTTACAATGGAGAATTTTTTTATAATTAAAAAAATTCGATAACAGCGCCATATGTCTTACTCTCCATTTTTACAAACCTTTAAAATCGAATTTGAAATCGTTAAAAATGAAATATCATAGTAAAGATAAAACTCACTACATTTTTATACTATAATCCGCATCCTTGAGCCACCCTAAATACGTCAATAACCATGAATATAAAACTTTTTTTGAAAATGTATTTTAAACTGTTATTCGTAAAATGGAACATATATTTTCACTATAAAGCATTTGCTTTATATTCGAACGCAAAACTTTTCGAACAACAGTTATAGTTTCGAACTTGTCGAAACTATATATAATTAAGAAATAATCAAAAATTACATCTTCTCCATTTCCGACACACCGAAAATGTATATCCCTCACAAGCAAACAATGAACCTAAAACAAAAAACAATTCATATATATAGATATGTAATTTAAACTTATATTAAAATTACTTTAATTTCTCAGATAGAAGTCTGGAGGCTTTAAAATTATAAATTGTGAACATATAGCGGTATTCTGACTTCTGACATTTTAATGTTATTGTTTCAATTATAATTAATAAAAACTTACCAATGCAACGATGACATCGAATTTTTTAACAAGTTTATCAGAAATAGATTGGTAGAAATCTCTCCAAACAGAAAGAAAGTTCTGCTTCGTATGACTGCAAGAAGCCATCAAATTAAATGAATATGTCAAATTGTTTGCTGGCACCAAAAAAATTTTTAAGCCGGATTGAAAATTCCGGCAAGTTCCTGAATTTAAAATTATAGAATTTCTAAACCATGAAATTTTATAAATCGTTCTTATATAAAATCGAAAACTTTACTTACTATATAAATTTTATTTGTAAAAAAAGAAATAACAATTTCAGTTTACTACGATTTTTAACAAATGTCGAGTTCTTTTGTAAATAAAAAAAAATTTTCTGTTACAACAACAATTATACTTATAAAGATTTGAATATGTTAGTAAAAGTAGTTAAAAATAACCTCAAAAAATATTTTTAGGGACATTCAGAAATGTTCGGTACTTAAGAAACGGTAGAGTCAATTTTTTTAAACGTTAACAACAATATTGATACAATTACATACTATTTTTGTAATGATATAAAATATTAATAAAAATTTATTCAAAAAACACCTTACAGCAACGGAAACTACACTATTGTGAACAAAAATGAATTTCTTTTTAAGAACTCACCAATTTTCAGTACTATATACACCTTTAAAAACATACCTAGGTGTGAAGCAGTTGATCTAGGAACAAAATCTCTTACATACTGTCCCTACTTCACCCTTCTAACTTACAAAAGTGTAGTGCATCATAACACGATATATATTCACACCAATATCATCAATAAGCAAAACAGGCAAACCTTTCAAACATTATTAGGCCTTTTCGGTGGCTCGCAAGTATGGCAAAAAATAATTAACATAAATTGAAAATTAAAATGAATAAAAAATTAAAAGGAATGGTAAAAATGTAAATTTCAAAATATAACACTGAAATTTTTCTTTTTTCCCACTTTATGAAATTTTTGAATTTTGTTTGAATTTTTATTTACATATAAATATATAATTTTGACATATGATTGCAATATTCGTTGGAATTCCCAATGAAGGTTCACAATGTTCGCTTATTGCGTTGGTAACATTTTTTTTTACTGGTCGATGTGTTGGGCCAGTATATCTATACTGGCCGAAGTAGAGAAAATAGTGTTGTTGTTTTGTGTACATTTCGGGCAGTATAGGCAAGGAACTTCCTGTTTTTTGCCATACTTGCGAGCCACTGAAAAGGCCGATTATTGCTCCTTTGATGTGAATTGCAGATCCAAGCTGAATCTCATTTAGACATCTCAGCATCTTCAGTAGTAATCTAGTCTTAATCTAGTTATCCCATGGCTTATTAATACCAACATTACTTGAATTAATTTGATATATTATTTTATTGTTAATATTATTTTATTAAATTAAAATTTGCTTATTTTAAAAGTCGAATTCCTCTTTTGACCTCATTACTTTTTAGTTACTTACATATTTTTTCTTATTATGTTATATATACCAAAAGGGTATATAAAAAATAACAATATGAACTAAATAAAAGTAATTCAATTTTTTAATATTTTTGAAGAATTAAAACTTAGAAATTACTAAAAACTTGAAAAAAATTTTAGTTTGCATTCATTAAAAATGGAACCTATTCTGCGACAACAAAGAAAGACACCCTGTTCTTTCTTTTTATTATATTCTAACCATAAAATATTTTTGTCCACTAAGATTATCAAAATAACACACTGTACGGTGTAAGCTCAGGGTTACAATGTTTGATTCAAATGTTCGAAATCGAGTATACTTGAACTGCTCGAACATGGTATTCCACACTTGGAAAATTGCACCGACCGACAAGGGTTAAACATATAAATTTTTTTATATTACTGTGTTTTTGGTAATCGGTAATACAATATTATGTCGCATACACGAACATAATATATACCTTACTTTATTAATAGCATAAAGTCTTCGGAATCTCACAAAATGTACAAAGGTACAAAATGTACTCTCCGGACAGTAGTCATACGGAAGTATAATTACTAATTATTAAGAGTTTATCATGGTGTCAATTCTCTAATAATAAAACATTTAGATCATTAAAAATTTTATAGAATATTATCTACATTATATAAATCGATATTAAATGTAATATATAATAGAATATTAAATGATATAATTTTTCCCTCTAAAAAAATAATATAAAAAATGATAAAAAAAGAGCAAAATGAAAACTACGAACCAAAATAAAATTACTCATTTTTCATTTGTCAAATCGTTACTCTTCGTAACCTATTTCGTCTATTATATTATACCTACCATATCGACAAAATAATAAAAGTATACTTATTCTCGCGTTGTTGCTCTTCGTGATTTTTGTCGGCTCTTTTATACTTTGATAGCTTAAATAATAAAATCATATGAATACGACGTAAGATACGTAAAAAGAATAGGTCTCTTTCTTACTTATGGCAACACACAATTGTTTTATGGGTGTAAACTTACTAACATAATATCAAAAATTATATAAAATAAGTTAATTTTAATAATTTTCGAATGTATTATTAAAAAATTCTTATCAAGGGAATATCTATTGCGTTACATATTTTTATGAGTTTTTTATATGAATTTTCATGTGTGTATGGTGGCTCTGAATGCATAGTTGCCATATTTGTTGTTATAATTTTACTGTTTTTGAACTAAATTATCTTTACAATCTTAATTTATAAATAAAGTTACATTTTAATAAATATTAACATAGTTTTCAAAAATATAACTTTAAAAAATAAGTCATTTATCTAATTGCAGATTTAGGCTTAAACTTGTATCATAATAAATTTCATTTATTATAATATCTGGCATTTATTATAATATGAATTATATTAAATATAAAGCAATCGTTATTACAGAGAATACATAATACTTAATTTTTTACATTTAAAATACTTAATTCATTACAGAGTTATATTTAGCAAACCCAGTTGACACACCTAATTATGTTGGATATAAAATGATGCTGTATATATTAATAAACTGTAATGATCAATATGATTACCTATTCTTCAAAATATAATTATCAAGGCTAGTTACGGAGTACTATATATACATATTATTATTTACAATACACAGCTTCAAATAATATAGATCCTAAGAAAGAATTAAGATATAAAAATAATATAAGTATTTTTGTAATTATATTTTTTCTTAAATTTCTTTTGGGCTTCAATGTCTCAGTTAAATATTCTTACGCTACTGTATATATTGTTATCTTTTATATATCATTTTTAATCTTTTGTCGAATAAAATTTACGCATCTGGCATCACTGAAATTGTTATTTATTTGTATAAGATTTTATTTTGTTTTTGGTTGAGATAATACCATTATAAATGACAAAATCATAGTAAATAAGAAATCCAACGATTTCAAGATCTTAAATATATTAGTAGGCTTCTTATGATTATATTATGATATAAGTAAGATTCTATAATTATAATTAATCATTTACAACTCATACACATATTGCACAATAAGAAAGCGTTAATAAAGAAAATAGGAAAACAGATAAAAAGATATGACAAAGTCTCCTATACATATATATGTGTAAATATACATATGTATATGAGTTAAGTATGTAAAATTGTAAAATATATTTTACTGGCATATAATAAAATTAATTCAATAATTATTGAATGTTACGGCTTTCCTTAATTACAGTATTTGCAAGTGACTTACAAAAAATTTTTAGCTAAAGTTACTGTAAAAATGTTTACTTTCAGATTTATATATATATTTATATATACATAAAAACATTTATAGAATCATAAGTCCTAATATAAAGTATAACGTACATAGAATAGGTCTGTTCCACGAGCTACTCGTAATAACTTTGAGCAAATATTCGTGTATTCTCGAGTAAATTTTATTTGTGTTTTACTTGAATTTTACTACGAGTAGCTCGGAGCAGTGTATCACAAAATATGAAATACAATGTATCTCTTTCGCAACCCTGCTCACCGAAACGTTTCACTAACAATGAATAATAAAAAAAAGTAATGGAATTGCAACGGATTACAATCTTCCTTCCCTCCTAGTAAAAAATGTAAAAGATTGCAATCTTTCACAAGATGGTAATAGATTACTATGATACTAGATAATGTAGTATCATAACTTCTGTTATACGGTTGAACTTAAAAATTAATTAACTTATAAAAATTTAACAATTTGTAATGGATGGTGACAGGTGTCAAACTTTTTTGACATTTAACATATGTTTTGTAGTTTTAAATAATATTCTGAAACAAAATATATTTTTATTGTATAATAAAAATTATATTATCGTCAGCGTGGACTGAATTCTACATAATCCAGTTTTTTTGTATATGTACATACACAATTTAGACATCTGTCATAAAATCGTATATTCGATCTGTTCTTCATTTGACGACAATAGTTTCTCTTTTCAACACAAACGAGTTTAACCTGATACATTTAACAAAAAAGATTTTACACAACCATAGTCAGGAATTCTGGCAACACGAGTGGTTGCGTTGTGCGTTGGTTAGTTTCGCGGAAATTTCTGTATTTCTTATAATTATTAAAAAATATTAAACAAATATTTTAATCGGAAAAAATAAATTTTGTACTTTATATTTTATAATAAATTATTTAAAATCACGAAATATACCGCAACTAAACATATGCGGCTTATGATTTTGTGAAGTGTTATAATGTACGAAAAAATTTTTAAACAAAAAGTGTAAGGCAATACCCGAATAAAAATTGCATTAACGAATTTGGAAGCTGCATTAAAAATTAAACAATATGAGTGAAAAATCTACAATGCAGTATACTGATAATAATGGTAAGTTTATTATATATTTATAATGAAAAATTTATAAATTTAATAAGATAGATTAATTTTGCAAAGCACTTTTCCATTCGCAACATTTATGTACTCCCTCACTTGATACGATTGATATATTTGCCGCATATTCTTTCATTAGGTTGTTCAATTTGCTGCAGCAAATTCAAGAACCTAAAAAACTAGAAAAAGCGACATCTAGCGTAATTTTATTTTCGCCACAATATGGCGTCTTGAAAGAATAGGAATTGTATTATAAAAAATTGCATGATTTAAGATATAATAGTAAATAATTTAATACAATTACTTTGTTAACGGATTGCCATTAAATGTAACGGGTTGACTAAATCTCATTTCATGATATATGTCGAAGAAGGTCTACTCTCAGAATTTCAGAAGTTATCGATAAATATGATTCATAAGTGGTTGAAAATCGATATATTCGAACATATTTAACTAACTAACGATTCATAATATTTTCGAAATAGCAGTTTTCGAACATCGAATATATGAAACAATTTTTTTTTTTATAGATAAAATTTCAAATTTAATAGTTTTGCATATACGAATTTAAAAATTTAATAATTTTTCATTTTCGAATAAAACGTGATAAAGCATATGTTTATATATCAAACAAATTTTTTTTTTATCAAATCTAATAACATGTTAGTCTAATATCTAATACCGAAACATTACTGTTTACTATGTCTTCGAAATGCATGTTATAGAATATCGAAATTTAGATTGTAATTATTTAAGGAATATTTTAAAAATACTTTTATAATACATATTTAAATCCTTATTAACGTTTTTACGCCAAAGTATTTATTTCAATGAAGAAAAAAATTATTCTATTTTTTTAAAATTAGCATTAGTAGTTAAAGGGTTAATAGTTAGGAAATTCCTTAACTATTAACCACTTAATTACTAAACGTTAATGTAAAAAAAAATTTAAATCCTTAAAAAATCAATACATTATTCATTTATTAGTTTTATTATTCAGATTACTTATAATTAGTTTAATCGTTGAAAATGTTTATACGATAGTTTAATACGAACATTTTCTTCTACTTATTCTCGATTTTTTAGTGCTGTTAAGAAGCAGTTTTCATTTTCGATACTTTAAATTTTATCATTTTTTGATTCTGTTAATTACTTTGTGAAGCAGTATACTTCATAATTTTATTAATTCAATTTAGTTAATGGCAAATGATTCACTGGCAAATGATATAAGTAAATTCGCCGATATAGCTAAGTTCTTCAGATATCGCAGGTTTATAAAACTTTTAAAATTGTAAAATTTTTCGAGTTTAATAAAAAACAATTTGGAATAATTTTATTAAATGTTATGAAGCAGTTGTACAGAAAATTTAAAATATGAAATTCAAACGTATTGATAATTAATAAAAAAATATAAATGTGTACACACTACACACAAACACATTTATTATGAAGTAAAATTATGACTCAAATCAGAAGTGTGTTTTTATATGTAAATTGGGTTGCAATAGGAAACTATATACAATATAGCTTATGTAGTAATAAACCGTTAATATATAAAACTGAATCAATCAGTATTTTGCATTGTCATTAAATATTATTTGTATATATCATATAAATATTTATCTTAAATAAAAAAAAATATATTGTATATATAGTTTAGGATGAAGTGGCGGATTTCAGTGATGACGGATTTGAGTCTTGCCAACGAAATCGTTGTTTTTCAAAAAGTCGGTTCATTAGTTGAGCCTTTATTTTAAAAAGTAAGATTTATCATACACAGCATTTACATACACAATAAGTTGGAAAAAATCATTTTACAAATTTTGGCGTCTACTCTATATTTTATTTTAGTTATAATAAAGGAGTACTAACTTTATTATTTCAAATTAATACTGTTGTAACATATATTTAAAAAAATTGACTCATACGTTGACTCATAGGGAATAAACATAAACATATACTTTGCCCATGCCTCCATTTTATAACTGGTTCTTAATGGCATTTTCGATTGGTAAATCTGAATTTAATTTAGATTTACTCTAGATCGCTCAAATCGATCAGTTTTAGAGTAATCTAAAATGTTTGCAGTAGTGTTAATAGTAGTAGTGTTAGTATATTGTAGAAATACATATATCAAATTAAATCATAATTTATTTGTCGTCCTATAAAACAGCTGCTAATTTAAGGGTAACATTCAGGGTAACTGTGGTGAAATATCCAGATTGTTATAAATTAATCTCGAGTGTTATACAGATTTAACAATCGAAAATGAAAATTGCACTATAATGAATCTTGATTAAAAGAGATTTACGAATTCAAAACGTCATAACAAACTTCAAATGTTTGGATTTCTTTATTTTTCAAAATCAATTATTATAATTTTGAAGTTGATTTCAGGCAATTCGGTATTTTCAATAAACCCATGCAATATTGACTATGCAGAACTGAAAACTTTAAGTAAATATCTTAACAAATAAAATTATATTTAAATACTACCTTAATATGGTTAAAAAACTTACCCATACCTAATACATATTAAAAATACTCATTTTGTTGTATTCTAATATTAGAACTATGAAGTCCCATATTTCATGCAATAAATGTTTAAAAACTTTTTAAATTTTAGATTTTTTGAAAAATCGTTGTAAATAAGCTAATTTATTAACCATATGACTCTTTAATTGTATCGAATATATGTCTACTAATATCGTTTTAATGCAGCCATGAAGCGGGGAAATTATTATAAAAAAACGACAGCATGATTTTTGACAATATCTGATTAATGGTCAAGTATTGTCAAGTATATATAGAGAATTTACGTTGTAAATTTTAAAAGTCAAAATCATGGTATCGTTTTTTTTTTAAATCTCACATCGAAATGATTGTATTCCTACCATTACAAAAATAACCTATAACCATACACAAGACATATAGTAAATAACGATTTTAACGTGAATATGTTTTATAGGTGTGTACTAACCTATAAAATTTCATCGGCGTAAACGTTACCGATTTTGCGTCACTGGTTTTACATGGGTTCTTGGTCCATGATCGGATTATTGTAGTTATTTTCACGACTGGCGTTTGGTTTTAACTGAATTATAATTGTGATGGCTGATTTTGAAGGTGACGATTACCCATCAACTTCGGTGATGGCAGATATTGCAGAGAAAAGAAGAAAGGCAGCAGAAAGGCAACGCAGATATCGAAACAAATTGAAAAACAAGCCAATAAGGAAAGTATACCAACAATTATTATTAAGTAGGGCACGTACTGATGAACAAAGAAGAAAGAACACAGAAAGGCAACGTAGATATCGCGAAAAGAAAAAAAGATTGGAGGCTATAGCCCAAGGGTCGCATGATGCTGATAAATCCGTAGTAAACTGGTATGACTCGTCAATTCCAAGGGTTCAAAAATTTTGCTTCATGTGTAATCGTTTGTATTTTGAAAATGATTTGTTCGAATCATCGTCTAGAAATTTTAATGATAACGTTCAAGAAAATTCAAATTCAAAAATCTGTTCAACATGCTACAGTTTGCTCCTCAAATCCAAGAAACCAGACCAAGGTTAGTACTATACTGAAATCTATTTGAGTTTCCAACTCATAAAACATATTCATGTTTCGGTGGTTATGGCTTTCGCGCACTAATGGTCAGTTTTGAAGTACCGGCTTTCGAAGATAGATTTTTTTATACAAATTTACAATTAGAATTTTACGGTTAATTTTTATTTTTGAAAATATACAGATACAAAAATCAAAACTTTACGGTAATACTCTTTCAGTCTTTATTATTAAAAGAAATTATCCTATTCCTTACCCTTGACTAATAACCACTTATCGTTACTATATCATCTCATTTACAAAATTAAATTTAAAAAATGCTTTGTGCTTGTTTCTTATTTTATCATTTCATATGTTTGTGTAATTAATGTATATTTATATGACAATATAATTAAATTAAATATTTCTTTTTTTTTAAAGGGACACCCTTGGATTTTGATCCATCCATACCCGAAGAAGAACGGCGTTTTTACATGAAAATGTACTCTACTATTGATCAAGTACGAGACAAAAAAGTACACTGTACAACATGTAAAATTCATATAGGCACTGCACCGGCTCAAGAAGAATTCATTCGAATGCATCCTGTTCTGCGTGTTACACATTGCATTAAATGCCATGATTTCTATAATAGCGGAGAATTTAGTAAAGGTGAAGATGGTTCAGAATTATATTGCCGTTGGTGCGGTCAAGGTGGTGAGGTGTATTGCTGTTCCAGTTGTCCATATGTTTTTTGCAAATCATGCATAGTCAAGAACTTAACGAGAGGTGTCGTAGCTGATATTGAACAGAATGAAAATTGGAGCTGTTTTAGTTGTGCCCCCAAAATACTTTGGCCTCTACGAGCACAACATTGGGCACTTGTTAGTTATATTGAAAAACAGAAAAGGTGAGTTTATTATAATATCCACAATCCTTCACTCTGCAAATTTTACTTTGTGCCTCAGTAATCAAGTCATTAGTCACTGATACAGCAAAGTTAAGTAAAGTTAAGTTAGCATTAATTTAGAGTAGTTAGTCCACTTTTGAATCAATTTAATTTAACCAATAAAATTCACCTCTATCAATTAAAATTACTATTTAGTCTGACAGATGTCAACATTATCGACATCTGTGAGCTGCGTTTTGTGTTGTTGTTTTATTTTCATTATTGTTTAATTGTTTAAATAATAAGTCTTCATTTATTTTGTTTTAAAAGTTTTTATTAAAAAAATCATATATTGTCTTTCTATGATAAAAAAAATTCAATATCTTTTGTTTAAATAATGTTCACAAGGCATTTGACGGACAGCTGATCATGTTTCCATTAAAGATTCTATTACATTCTGTTTTTTTTGCTAGTGAGCATTTAAAGGTAATCGAAAACAACTAAATTTTTTTTATTTGTTTAATTTTTAGAGATATATTGGCAAGGAAACTTCCAGAATCTGAAGAAAAAATATTATTTGCTATTGATCGAAGTAATTGCTGTCGGCAAAGTAAAACTAAATGTGGTAATATGTCTGATTCTGTTGAAAGTATTGATTCAATTCACTCAAGAAGTAGTATGGGCAGTACTAATCCATTAAAAAAGCCCTTTAAACCAACAAGTACCAGTTTCACATCATTAGCTAAGCGTCCCAAAACATCTAATGATGAAGTTGTATGCACACCTGATGTTCTAAGTATGTTAGAACCAGATTGTCAGATTACGGTTTCACCAAAACCACGCCCATTGACATCTCCGATCACATCTACTCCAAAAGTGTTATCAGTTCAAACTGGTTATGGCAGTTCAAGTGCACAACAAAATAAAAGTACTACAGCTCCACCGCCATTAGTGTTGCGAAACACAGAAATTCAAATGAGAGCATTAGGCACATCACCTATAATGCGACGTACTGTTTTAAGTCAACGAGCGCCTAGTCCAGGTAACGTTAGTGCGGCTCCAGTCTATCACACAATCAATGGTTATCGTATTGATTTGAATTCTGCTGCACTACAAGACACGTTTAGATTACCGAATGGTAAACTAATACAAGTCAAACGTCAAGGAACTGCAGCAAATACATCGCCAACAACAAATAATACTAATTGGCAACAGCGAGCAACGACACCTTTAAATTTTAATTCGCGTCCTGTACAGATAACACCAGCGCAACCACAAGCACATTACGCAAATATAACTCAACAACATCCTATTTCATCAGCAACTTCCAATCAACAGCCACAAATAATGCGTTTCAATAATTTTGTAACTAATAATAGTAACAGTCCCGTCACTCAAAATGGCACACACATTCAAATGATCAATGGTGTACCAGCTGCGCCAATTCAAGTTCAACAATCTCCAGTTACTGTACGACCGGTTATACTAAAACATTTATTCCCAAATACTCCTATTGGGCAAGCACGTACACAGTTGCAGGAACAAGTCTTCAGTGCTATGGATATATGTCAGCATCTTACCGGTAAAATTCAAACTCTTACAAATTCTAATGCTTACAAACAAGCACGCAATTATCTTGAAGTCAAGGAACTATATATACATCTATCCTATTTACTTACCTATGCCGTTGGTCGCTTTAAGAGCTTACAAGACAAGTGCATAACAGATATGCGTCAACTTGGATTTGGTGCTGACGCTGATAGTTTAGAGAATGGACAGTTAGCTGCAGGTAAGCAAAAGTTTTTACATCGAATATTCTTGAAACCAATTTCAAATAATTTTCTTAATAAAATATTAAATATAAGTTGAAATTTAACGTCAGTTATGACGGGAGTGACTATTATATTTAATATAAACTAGCTATATCGAAATCTCTCTACCAAATATTTTATTTAACATTCAAATTCAACAAGAATTTCAACTTCTCGTAAACGATATTAAATTTTCGATTAAAAACTATATCAAGATATTTGCATTATTATGAAAACGTAATTATTTTGTCGAATAGAAGCGTTTCAATTCATTTTTTGTCAAATAGAAATGAAAAGACAACAACAAAAATTTTAGTTAATTTATTTGATGTTTGGCTGACCATACAACGCTGTTTTAAATATTGCCAAGTCCTCATCATTTCAATCATTTCAAATTGAAAATATATGTACAAGGTTTTGAACCTAATATACCTTGTAAACAAGATTTTAAAAAAAATTAATGTAGATTTCACAGTTGTTGAGACATAAATTGATCATAAAATTTAATAGTACAACACAATTACTATATGGGTAGTACTATAGAGTAAGTTCATATATTGTCAGTATGGAGAACTACTCATCACATTTGGCATCTTGCAATTTATATCTTTTTGAAAAAATACATTTGATGATTAAAAAAAATAACGATTCTAAGAATGGTCGGCTTTACGTCCCAGAGCTACTCATCGAGTGACGTCGACTTACACAAGCAGATCCTTGCAAGCTGCTTTGAAACTTTTTAAATAAATTTAATTTTGTGTTCGATTATAAGTAAATGGAATATTATTAACAGTGTAAGTAAAAATTCAGTTTTGGACGACTTTTTCTAATTCAATCAAACTATTAAACTATCAATTAAACAATTAAAACTATTTTTAATTGAATCATTACACTCCTTTCAAATATTCTGTTATCAGAATGTATTCATATTTAATAATATTTGAAATAACTTATTTACCATTTTATGGTCTGATGCCAAAGTTCTGAAGCAAAAACAGCTGTATGTGCTTCGCTCCATCTTGCATATAATATATATTTTTCAGATGATGGTTTTCCATGACTTCTTTTTCTTCTTTGGCACTAACGTCCAGTGTGAACTCCCTTCATTGAGTTGAATCTACTGATTGAACGTTTTCTAGTTAATGATGTCAAGGATTCTAGCGCCTCTGTAAATAGTGTCTCTCTATTTTATTTTGATCAACCTTGCTTTCTTCGTTCTCTCTGTCATCGTTCTAAGTTTTCCACATTTTGGCAGCTAAATTCGATTTCAATTTATACATTTTTTTTCGTATAGCTAGTTTCGATAAAATGTATCTGATTGTTATTGTAGCAGCGCATCACCCATTGAGTGATTAGATTCATTTTGAGAGTTATTCTGTATGTCCGGGTTTATGTATATCTCCTACTTAAAGTACCGCTAGGGTGTTTATTGTGAGATGTTCTTATCGTATTAATTTGATTATTTCTATGAAAAAGAGTATCTACTACACAATGCGTATAGTCATTATTCAAGACCCACTATATTTTCGAGAGTTTTTCGGCTTGTTTCTGTGTTTAGTCTTCTTTTATAATTCATAGCTTTTTATATTTACTTTTTAATTAAAAATAAAGTAGTCTGAAAATATAACAAATTTCTGGCATTAATAAATATTTAAGTGGATGTTTACACAATTTTAATAAAACAAATGTTTAATATTACAAATATATAAGTGAATACTTAAAGAATTTTAAAATGTTCAAACATATCGCGTTTAAACTTTATGTATCTTATATCTATAAACTGTACATACATATATATTATATTATAATAAATAATAATATATTTATAATTATGTAAATATTATATAATATATAGTATGTATATAAATATGTTTATGCTATACTATAGTATTCATCTTTATAATAAATATACATATATATAACGCATACGTATGTAATGTACAGGACCGTTTTAGAAAACTATCGGTAAAGAATTTATATATCTCGTGTATTTTTTTTTATTTTGTTTATTTAGTAAATCGTTTAAAATCATTGTCTTAAGCCAATTTTTAAATCACATGGACTTTTAATATATTTGTTATAAACGAAAAAAAAAATTATTTAAACCTAGTGTACTTAAAATATTAAAAAAATTATAAGAAACAACGTAAGTATCCGATGCTGTAATCTCTAACGAGTTCCATTTCATTGACTTTGGGCATTATAGATTTAAACATTAAAATTTTTATTAAGGGGTGGACCATGGACTATAGCATTGAGATCAACACAAGCATACTTTATGCTGTTTTTGTTTTTACAATTTGCAAATAACGAAACGTTAATATGTTAATTTTAAATTTATTAAAATATATGGTATATTTTTGGTCCATGTGTTGAAGAATGTTTAAAGGCAATGAAATAGAATTTAATTTTTTTCTATATACTAAATAATTACATTTATTTTAGGTGTTGACTATGTATGCTATGGACAATTAGAGGATGTGGATTTATTTAATACGGGCTCCAATAGCTTCCATAATCAAGTGTACAATTATCGTAAAAGTCTACATGCAAATCTAAAGGATGAAGACCATAAAGAATCTTTAGAACCCTACGATAATGGTGAGAATAGTTTACTCCGTGAAGCTGATTATGTGGATGATAATTGGCAAATGGATCAAAATGATGAGGTACAAGAATGTGATGATAATGACGAACCAGAGGAAACATATATGGATGCTGAAGAAGATGCTGATGAAGCAGATGAATCATTTCAATATCAAAATTCTGGATATTTAAATGAGACAAGTGCTCGAAGGAATACTGAAGATGTCATGAGTCGAGAAGAGGAATCGCATGCCTTTGATCGTAAACTTTCAACTCTGATAAAAGAATACCCTTCAATTTGGTGTACTAGACATCCGGATTATGGTAATTTCGAAGTAACACGGAAACAATGGCGTAAAATTCAAAGCAATTTTAAACGAAGTGATGATATAAAATTGCGTTGGAAAAATATACGAAAACGTTATGTTCGAATTGAGCGCCGATTAGCAGAAGGAAAACGCTTTAATGGTTATTTCGATGAATCAACATCATTTTTAGCTAATAGAGACTTGGCTCTAGAAGATTGGATTGATACTACTCATGGTGACGAAGTCAGAGGAACCTTTGATGAATCACAAACTGAAACATTGATAGAATTGGCGAAAAGAAATGAAATGTTGTGTAAAAAAGAAGAACTTGAATTGCAACGTCATGCTGAACCATTGCGTCATCCTGTAAAACCAATAGAAATTCGGTCGACTGATTTAAAAATTATATCTTTTGTAACTGGTCATCAAATTTTGTGGCGAAAACCTTGTAATAAGGAAACAATGCAAGAAGATGAGAAAAAATGTCAGTACTTATGGGCACGTTTGACGAAACTGGTTCAAAGTACAAGTAAGTTATATTAAAAATAATATAGTAAGAAAAAAGTGTATGTTCTAATTGGCTTAAATTTTTTTCTTTCTGTTTTAGATGTTGCCATGACTTATCAAGATGTTGTTGATCGTTGGGCACATCTATATGAAATGTATAAAACTTTCCGTTTGAAATCTATAAAAGATGAAACAATACTTGCGAATCTGGAATTAAAGTATGCAAAATACTTAGCCAAGCTATTTTTTCTATATAAAATTGATGAAGAGGACCTCAAAAAAGAAAATGAATTAGATGAAATGGATGATATACATCTAGATAATTCTGATAATAGTAATGATAGCTATGCGCATGATTCTACTAAATTACAAGATATGGAGGATGATAAAGAATTTTTACTTGAACTTGTACATGCAATGAAAAACTACCCCAGTTTATGGGATATACATAATTTGGATTTTAACAATTATAAAATGCGTGAACAACATTGGAGAGAAATCGAGACAAAATTACAGGATTTCAAACGTAATATTAATACTTTTTAGTTGATAAAAAGCAGTAGTACCTGTATTTTTATTAAACAAAAACTAAAATATTATGTACTACTGAGTCAAAATTAATATATATATAATTTATTCAATACAAATAATTTTTAATTATATATTTTAGGTGATTTGAAAACAATTAAATTACGTTGGCGTTTGGCAAAGTTTAGTTACATGTGCATACGACTCGAAGATCACATCACAACAGAAGATAACACCTATTCGAAATGTTTAAAGAACTTGCCTGTAGACGAAATGTCATATTTATGTTTCTGAAAAAATGAAAAACTGAATTAATTTGAAAAATATCTATTACTAAGTAACTTTAAAGTTTAGGTTACTTTACATAAATTATGTATTTTTTGAAATAATTAATCTTAAGATTCGATTGATAAATTTAAGACATATAAACATAATAAGCTTAAATATACATTGTGACCGAAAGGTTTTCGGAAATTCTCATTTAAAATTCGCGCGCTGTATATTTTTCGATATTTTAAGTTTATGTAGTTTGGCAGCAACTGTCCTTAATTACTATGCCAAAAATGAGCGCGATCTGTCAGGACAGTTCGTTTACGGCAGCTGTTGAAACCAGTTCACCTCAGTAGTGCGTTGCGAAAAAAACAATGGAAAAAAATATTGAACAAAGAGTTTGCATCAAATTTTGTTTTTCGAACGAAATTTCGTGTGCAGAATCGTTGCGAATGCTACAAAAGGCTTATGGGGAATCAGTTTTATCGAAAACTCAAGTTTATGAGTGGTACAAAGCCTTTCAGGACTGTCGTACGACCGTCGAAGACATGCCGCGTTCTGGACGACCTTCGACCTCTACCACCGACGAAAACATTGAAAAGGCAAAGGAAATCGTGTTCAAAAATCCTCATGTGAGTGTTAGAGAGATAGCACGAGAGCTAGGCATCGGTCGTGAGATGGCTCGTTTGATTTTGGTGGACAATTTGTGTATGCGACGTGTCAACGCCCGGCTTGTTCCGATTCACCTCAATTTGTTCAACATTATCAACGATTTTAAGGCCAAACATTCAATAAATACCATCGAACAGCCACCGTATTCACCTGATCTTGCACCGTGTGACTTTTTCCTGTTTCCCAACCTCAAATTACCACTCAGAGGAACGCGTTTTGAATCCATAGAAGACGTAAAACAGAATTCGCAGAGGGAACTCAAAGCCATACCGGAAAGCGCCTATAAAATGTTTGATGTGGAAGAAACGTTGGCATTTGTGTATCGCTTCTAATGGAGCATATTTTGAAGGAGATAAAATAAATATTGATGAAGGTTAAGAATTTTGCGTTTTATTTAAAATTTCCCGAAAACTTTTCGGTCACAATGTATAGTATATATATTTAATAATATTTTAAAGTATATTAATATAATTACCAATAATACATAATAATCTCAATATTCTCGATTTAAGATTTAATGTAATATATATCATTATTATTATTATTATTGCAATATTTGTAAGTTTATTTAACATTATAAAATTCCTTTTAACGATTCTTAGAGATAAATAATATAGTATATTATTATCAATTTAAGTATTAATATATATTATTACACAGGTTATTAATAATATAAAATAAAATGCATATTATTATATATTTGCGATCATTTTATTTCTAAATGTCTATTTTTAAATCAATATTTTGTTTAATTTTATAATGTTTGTTGATATTGAATTTGAACCGAAAACCGGAACCTAACCAAAAAAAATATATCTGTTTATTTGGGATCAGTACCGTTTAGTTTGGTACCTCAATATATACGCACATTTTTTTTCTGTTTTTAAGCTTTAATATATTGAGTTTGACTAAAGAGTTAAAGAATATTTTTTATTTATAAACATAGAAGTTTATTTTTTTCGTTTTTTGAATAAATTCGTGAATTGTGCTTTTTCAAAAGAATTAATAAAACAATGACAAAAAAAACTTAGTTGTAATTGAAATATTTTAAAAGTAATTACTCGAAACTGAAACGACCACTGATATTTATCCGAAACCAAACCGAACTGATATATTTTTTTTAATTAAAACTGGATTAAACAAAATTCCAAAGCATTGGTTTTAGTTGAGACAAATTTATTTCGAGTTTAAATCACGAATAAACCAAAAAGATATTTTGTTACAAAAAAATAGTATATAAGCTTATAAATCTCAAATATGTATATCAAATGTCAATAATTGCTTAGAGTATTATAATAATAAGTTCACGTATATAACAATGAAAATAATATAAAAGTGTATATATATAATCTGAAGAAATGCCCAACTAAATGTGTAACGAAATTTCTTACCAGTTAAAGAGGGTGATTAAATCAGTACTATATATTTGCTAAACGTTATGGCATGCATTTTTTTTTTTGGTTTTGTTTTTTTTCATCATATTCCCATCAAAATTAACATTTACGTTTACAATGATCATGGAAAGAAAAAGGCAAACTTTAAATTTCAATAACGAAAGTTTTATACAGCTTTGCCGCGGGAGGTTAAAAAAACATACGTATTGGTTCTAATTTGACCGGTTCCGAGTTCTAAGACTGGCACTTGTAGTCCCAGAATTATATCGGACTTATAGAACCAATTTACCACAACGGGCCATTATTTGTGCTCCAGTGGGCTTTGTTGGTATACAAGGCCGCCACTCCAACCTGTAGAACTAATGAATATTTTCTAAGTCCACTGATGCTGAGTTTTTGGCAAAACTCGAAATATTCGTATGGTGAATCAAAAAATTCAATAATAAAATTTTGTTGCTGTAATTCACTGCTATTCTAAAACTCATCAATTAAAAAAATAATCAATCGGGTTAAGTTTTTCGTATTGCGTGATATATATGGTAAACATAATCAATTGCGTCAAATGGTTGTGTTTACAATGTTGATAATCCAGCCCATCAAACAAATAAACAAAATGTTAAAGATATAGATGACCAAAGTGTAAAAAAAAAACAAAAACAATAAATTAAATAGCATTTTGAAGAAGTTAGAAAATGCATTTCAAAGCGGTCAGTCGACATAAGCACTCGACTGGTTATGGGGTTGAATATATATATGGGTGTTTGGCAATCCTCGAAACAGCTGTATGGTTAGCCAAAAATTCGATTAATTAATGAATTATAAGAAATTTATGTTGTTGTGATTTACTACTGTTCCAAATACGTCAACTCAATATTGTCATATCACATTAATTTCTACAATAATTAGCAGTTTGCTGTATTAATATAAGTGGACCGTATTTTTTTGAAAAAAAAAATTGCTGGAGTTACTGTAAATGGAGAATGCTAATTACAGATTCTCTATAGGATGATTTATGTGATTTTAACTTATAAAATATAGAGAGAAAAGTTCAAAATATATAGCTCTTATTTAATCACCCTTAATTAAATTTTAAAATTAAATCATTTTTTAAGCGCTTAGAAATAATATATTTCTATAATAAAGCTATTTTAATTATGACAAAACAGACAAAATTTAAAACTTTATTAATATTAAACATTTATATTATTATTATTAAATTTATATAGTTTATGTTGACTTCAAAAAGTGTGAAAAAAAAATATATTGAAATATTGTAAACTCAATAATAAGTGAATTATAAAAACATAATAAATGGAAAAATTGTGTTTTAATTTTTATATACAGTTATTATATAAATATATATATATATATAAACTTATATATACTTAATATTTTCAATTACTTAATAAATTCTTTAATATTTCAGATAAACAAGCATCAGACGATGAAGATAATGAAATAGAAATCATAGAGCCCAAAACGGATACAATCAATTTAGACTCAGATAATGAAGATGATGAACCAGTTAAAGCACTAGTGGCGCCAAAAAATATTCTTATAGCTGATACAACAACAACAACTATTCTTAAAAAGAAAATCTTATTACCAACAAATACTAAGTTGCAAATCGTACAGCAAAATCCAATGCAACAGATTCAAATACAACAAAATGCCATACATATTAATCCTATAACGAAAAATACACTACAAGGGACTTCAATACAGTTAAACACATTACAACAAAATCCAGCACAACAAATTCCTGTGCAATCATTACTGCGAGAAACTTTACAACCACCAGAAGAAATAGATTTTGTGACCGCTGCCCAAAGTTTTCTAGCTAGTATGCTTGATATTGATGAAAAAGAGCAAAATGTAGCGCCATCTTCAGGAGTTCTACAAAGAAAACAACCACGAAAAAAGATGACAAATAAACCGAATCCAACATTAATTAAACAAAAACTTATGCTAGAACGTGAACGTCTTGAAGAAATGAAACGTAGTGATACGAAACTGAAAATGGAATGTAAGGTTGCAATAAAAAAGGCTGAAGACGAATTTCCAAATATAATAAATATGTTGAATGAAAAAAATGCAGAAACAAAATCTGATCTTGAAAAAGAAGATAATAATTCTGCAGAAGTAATCGAAGCTAATCGAGATAATGATAGTTCTGTAGAAGTAATCGAAGCTGAACAGGATAATGATAGCTCTGTAGAAGTAATCGAAGCTAAACGAGATAAAGATAGTTCGGTAGAAGTAATTGAAGCTAAATCAGATAATGATAGTTATGCAGAAGTAATCGCAGCTAAAGGAGACAATAATGAATCTATAGAAGTAATCGAAGCTGAACCAAATAATGATAGTTCTGTAGAAGTAATCGCAGCTAAACGAGATAATGGTTCTGTAGAAGTAAGCAAGCCTAAACGAGATAATCGTTCTGTAGAAATAATGGCAGCTAGTGAAGAGAATAATTCAAAAATGGATTTTAATAATTGTACTGGTATTTCTGCAGATGTTGATATCGAACCTACTACAACTGTGACGACGAAATCAGATACTTTGATACAAAGTGTATGTGATAAAAATACGTCTCAAAAAGATGAATTTATAATTACTTCAAGTGAAAAAGAAATAAAAAGTTTAAATACTGAACCAACTGAAAAAATTGTTTGTCTTGATAATATAAAAGATGGACAGAACGGTCAAATATCGGAAACCGAGGAAAATCGTAATAAAAATGAGGAAAATATCATTTTAACGGATATTGTTCATTCTAATTCAGAAATCGAAAGCACACAAACTATGGAAGTAGATGATGACGATTTAATTGAGTACATAGAAGACAATATTGTAAAACAAAATCCCAGAATAGGTGATAATAACGATACTGAAAATAGTGTAGAACAAAAAGAAATGGCAATTTGCAAAAAAAATGATCCTGAAGGTAATGTGGTGCAAGATTCAATTCAAAGAGTAAAAATAAATGATTCGGAAAGTAAAGTAACATCTATATCAGATTCTAATAAAGATACTAATATTTGCGAAAAAATTGATACGGAAGCTAAAATATCATCAGCGTCAAATCTAACTAATGAAATGGAAATTGACGATAACACTAATTCCCATAGTAAAATATCATCAGCATCAGATCTGAATAAAGAAGTCGAAAGTTATGAAAATACTGATTCGGAGGATAAAATATCATCAATTACAGATTCAGCTGGAGTAGTTGAAATGGGCGAAAAAACTGTTTCGGAAGATCAAATATCATATATATCAGATCCAACTGAAAGAGATGAAATTTGTGAAAAATTTAATTCGGAAGATAAAAAATCATCAACGTCAATTACGGAAGTGAAATCATGTGAAAAAATGAATCCTGAAGATATAATTTTGTCAGAGGATAAATCAAATGAAAATATACATAATTATAAAAAAATTAATTTTGAAAATAAAATCTCATCAATCTCAGAGATAGTTAATGAAGTGAATATTTGCAATAAAACTGACACGCAAACTATAATATCATCAGCGTCAAATTCAATAAAAATTTCCGAAAAAAATGATTCTGATGGTAAAATCACATCAATGTCAGAACCAAATACAGAAACAGAAATTTGCAAAGAAAGCTTTACTGAAGATAATATATCTTCAGTATCAGATTCAATAAAACAAGTAGAAGATGTAGGGACTTTAATGGAAATTGATGAAACCATTACTGAGGATGAAGCGGTAGATGTAAATATGGAAGCAGAAATGCATGTGGATAAGGAAATTGAAGAATTATTACAAAAAGACACAATTGAAGGATCTCAAACCGAATCACACAGAGAAGATTGCTCAAGAACAAAAGATGTTGAAGTTACAAGTACAACGGTTGAAACTGAAACTTTTTTAAATTCTCCAGATCTATTTAATGATCTAATCGAAGTTGATCCGGAATCAATGTCTTAATTCAAGTTTTGCTCTTTATTCTTCTATTATAACTAAAATATTCATTTATTATAATTACTGTATTTGAATACACAATTTAAACCTATTACATTTATATATTAAATAATTTCAAAATATTTTTTTTTTTCAAATAGCTTAAAGCAATTTAGTTTATTATATTTTATAATTCTGTGTACATTGTATATTAAAATATATATATAAAAGATATTTTTTTTTTATTAAATAACATATTAAGTAATCAATATTGAATTATATGTAGAAATAAAACTTATAATTTGGCTTCTTTTTATAATTTATCATATAATAACTATTGATACTTATTTAAATATTTTAAGAAAATAAATTTTTAAGAAATGTAAATTCGTAAGCTAATATAAATAGTTGTTTTTATTTCAATAATAAAGTTAATTTTATAGAATGGAAAATATTATTTTTAACATGGAATATATAATTAATTCTTTTATTTAGTTTGTAATTTATAAATTGCTTCTAAAATTATTTACTACTTAAAATTGTACCATATATCCAAATTGTTTTATTGTAAGACTATCTAGAAATAAAAATAAATAAGAACATTTTCATGAAATGTTTTTTAGGGTTCCTTTTTGTATATTTTATTAAATTTTAAAAAATTACCCACTTGTTATTACTTTTTATTTGATTTGTTTATATTTAATATAAACGAATATTATGGTTGTACACGATCCCATTTGCTGAGTTTGTGTTAAGAATTAAACATATTTTCTAAAACAACTTCAGTAAGAATATGTTACTTTATACTTTTTAACAGATTAAAGATTTTTAGTATTAATTTTTATTTATTGAAATTTTTATTATACTATTTATATAATTATATCATTGTTTTATAATTTTGTTTAAAAATTTTATATGCTTCTAAAACAACGTAGCATTTTCTGTTTCACTAAATACAATAATATATAACGATTTTTTAATATTAATATACACTGCAAATTATGTTAAAAATTATATATATCCATATGCTATATAATATATAGATATATTCTATATATAGTAAGAATAATAAGAAAAAATTTTATACTTGCCGTTATGTCTTCATAAAACAATATATATATCAAAAACCTAAGTAATAAATAAAAATATAGTCAAAAAAACATTAATACAATGCCAATAATTGAAATTTAACAGTGTGCCGTACTGTACATTAAATGTACCGTACTGGCAACTTGCGAAAATGTTTCGACTTCTGCTTAACTGTAAGCACATTTGAATAACCACTTCCAGAATTTGGAAAGAAATTTTTTAAAGATAATTAATATCATTGGCGTAAGTAACGGGAACATATGTGAAAGGGAATAAAGCGGACTAGGGCAATTCATATACCAACTATTACAACTGTTAGTAAAATAGCCAAAATTTGGAACGTACTTGGTATATAACGTATGTATGTAAATTTATACCGGAGAAGTTATGTTGAAGATAATTGATAAAATGAAAACTATCAATGGGGGCAGTGACCGAACCCATCCCCAACCATCACTATTCTACTACGATAACAGATTGCGATCGCAATATATATAATTCGATTCTCAGTAGAGTAAATATAGGTTAGGATAGTCGTTGATTCTTTTTTATTAGCCGATACACTTAAGTCATGCATTACGTCATGATTCCAGTATTCATTGTTAAACCAAGTAGAAAACAATCCACAATTACAATTATTATTATGTTTAATATTAGATGTAGTAATAACAACGAATAAATACTAATTAAATGTAAAAATTCAATTAGTATTTTTAATTGTTTAACGATTAAATTAATTTAAAAAACACTGTCGAATGCAATGTGCTAATAGCTCTATTTACTTATTAGAGTGTATAAAATTAATACTTTTATGCCACGTTTTTAGCTAAAATCTTTCGTTTTTTTTTAAATGAATATATCATCTTTTCACAAATCTATAAAAATCTCTTTTTATTAATATTTACAGTCAGTTTGAATCTATGATTATATATCTATGTATATAAAAATATCATTATTGCTGTCAAATCAGTTTTTATACCCCATAATAAATTATATATACATTTACCCTCCTAATCTGTGAACTTGATAAATTTAACAAGTATTAACAAATAATCGAGATTTTTATCAAACAAATGCTTTTTGCTATTCTATGGAAATATTAATCAATTTCAAAGCTCAAGTTGTAAATTTGTTATTGTTTTGTTTTCGTCATTTAAATTGTTTAGCCTTTTTAAACTATTTATTATGTAATAATTAATTTATATATAAAATATTTGTAATCCGTAAAATGTGATATATACATATAAAATTTTATTCCGTTTAATTTTTTTTATTGATGTTTATTAATTTTTTTTGAAATAAATAAATAATTAACTAATTTATATATAAAAACAATTACAATTTAATAACAAATTAGATATATAAGATGCTATGTATACGCAGATATCCTTATTGCTGTCAAACTTTGTTTTCTTTTCGTATAAAATGATGTATGCATGTAATATGTGTAAATACTGTTTTATTTTATATTTTTTAATTTTTTTTTATTATATATTTAGGAAATGAATTTCTATATTGAAAGAAAATAGTACAATATACAATATTGAAAATCATAATTGCAATGTACATTTTATTTTTTTACATTTATTGTGAATTTATTTTCGAAAAGAAGTTGTCACTTACAAATTCATTGTGAATGACCAAATTTTAATTTTTGTTTTCTTATTGTCTATTATTCAGAGTGGGAACTTCGTCGTCGTGATTCAACCAGAAATTTTGGCAGAAGCTATTGTTTAAGGAAGGCATTTTAAAAATGTCTAAGAAACATATTTTTTGTTAAATAAATTCAGTAAAGTTAATCATGAATTCAAATTAATGAAATATATCAAGTGTTCTGAAATTACAAGCGGAAAGTCAAACACTCTCAAAACGGTTTCGCAAATTACGTGTGCCTAAAGAAATTTTGTAAAAAGCATAAAATTAATCAAAAAATATGAAAAATAAGTGAATTCAAATTAAGAGCATATCAATAAATATAAAGTGAATAGAATAGTGAATAAAATGAGTTCCCGTAACAGGTAAACGAATTAAGTCACAAAATTTTTTTCTAATATTTGTTTGTGTTGCCAACATATGTGGGCGTTACTTGACTCGCTACTGTGCCTTTTATCAAATCTCTAATTGTGGATAAAGTAAAGATGTATTTTTTTTTTGTAACAGAACAAACGTAACTAGGCTGTTGGAGTACTGGTGCGAGGTACAGATACAAGATTCTGATCGCGATAAACCATTCGGTACCTATATTCCAGACAGCTATATCTGCGAATGTTTTCCAGATAATTTTCGCGAAATAAAAGTGATGCAAAATATTCCAGCTTTTGCATTTCCATGTGCATATGAGAGGTAAGTCCAGTCTAGTCATTTAGCAAATTGCATAGCCTTTAAGTAATTTTATATATGGTTAATGTTGATTAGGCATTTCCGTTAGTGCGTTTCGAATGTTTTTGTATATGTGTATGTTTATACGAGTTTATGTTGCGTCGTCCCTTTCCGCGATCGCTACCGATCGCAGGTGAATTGTAAACTATTACTTGATGAATCATGCATTTTTCATTCAACGACTTTTGAAAGCTTAATAGTTTTTTGGTTATTGCTTAATACTGCGCGGTTTTGTAAATAAATAAATTTCTTGGTCATTTTATTTAACTAAGCGCTACTTTATTTGCAAGAATGCTAAGTTTGTGATGAAATTATTAGTGTTTATGTAATCTTTGTTATTCTATCATATGTTTTGTATAGAGAAACGAGTAACTACTTTTTTAAATACCTCAAAAAATGTAAAAACATTAGTTAATTATAACAGGATAATAAAATTTTATTAACATGTTATAATGAACATTAAAACACAGCATCTTAAATTAATCTATTAGTTTCTTTAAAAGTAAAAGATATGAAAAATAAATATCAAAGTGGCTTTAGACTGAATTGTTCCACGACTGACCAAACAGTCCCTCTTAAACAGAATCTGGAAAAATCAGAGCTACTACAACTTTGTAACGGTGAAGATGCTGAAAAATTAGCAAAATCGCAGCGCATGAGATGAATCCGACACGTCATGAGAATGCCGGAAGATAGACAACAAAAGCAAATACTCCATTTCTCGCCACAGAACGACCGCAGCAGAGGTAAACCTCGTATTAGATGGCTCGACAACGTGATCGACGACATCAGAAAAATGGGTATCCAAAATTGGAGGTCTAATAAACTTTATAAGCTTTGTCAGCAAAAAATTAAATTATTTTGCCGCACAAAAAGAAAATTGTGGAGTTAGATACAAGTGAAGGTGCCAAACCTGAAGAATATGTTGACTGTAGTAGGATATTCTATTCAAACTGCAAAAGTTTGGTGCTTTTGACGATCTTGTTTATTATCACGTACTATATGAGTGGACCACTAGCTTTTCTATTGATCAATTCTGAACTCTTTAGTTTGAGTACCTAATGCAATTCATCCAGTAGATGAGAGCACGCTTTAAAATTGATCATGGTTTTCTCAAATAAAAGCCTCAAAATACCAATTTTCTTATAATTATACATACAGACACTATTTTTATTGCTGCAACCCACAAGGATCTTTAAAACAAATAATGCGAAAGTATTTAGAAATATGTATGTATACATGGGTTAGAATGTAAATCAGTGACGACTGCTCTAAGGTGCGGAGGTGTGCGGTGAACACCCTAACATAATTTGCAAAATGTCAAATAACATAGGTATATAAATTTATTAAGTATCTTCACATCAACAATTATTATTATTTATTACATTTCCATATATATTTTTAAAGTTTTAGCAAAAACAATTAAATATAATTGTCTATGAAAACTCAATCAATTTGCTTCTGTTAGCTGGTATACTTGTTAGTTGTGCTCATATATTTGCAGCTCAAATCACAGAACATTTCTATTCCATTTCGTCTCTCCCCTTTGTGTGCAAAGAAGTTGGCCGCACATTCATACGTTGCATATGAACAAAATAATGTGCGTGTGCTCCCGTTCGTAATATCAGATATAGAGATTTATATAGTGGGAATTGTATGAGAGTAATTTTCTGTTCTATTCGAATATCAACTGCATGCATACAAATACAACATCATGATTTGCCAAAGTGGTTGCATGAGCGGCTGAAGTTTGCAGCTCATCTCACCATACATTTCTATCACATTTCGTCTCTCCCCTTTTAACAGTAGCACCGACGAATTTCTGTCGGTTACTGTGCGGAGTACTTGTCCGCACATTTATACGTTGCAAGTGGGTTTGATTTTGTTTGATCACTGCATAAACATGTATGGTTCTGAGTTAAAACTCTTTTGTTTGAAAAAGTTGGTTTGATGTTACAAGTATATGAAAAGTTTTGTTTCTTCCATATTGATATAATATTAAATTTATATATAAATTATTAATTTAATTGTTTAATATGTTATTTTGTTAATGAATTGTTAATATAATATTGCGAATATATTGTTGCCTTATATAATATAGTTATTATTAATAAAAGATCTCATATATTTTAATATAAGTGGTACATGTAAAAACAACATTATAGAAGGGCCGCACACCCTTCCAGATAGGGCACGCGTCGTCACTGATGTAAATAGATAATGGTAGTGTGAGAGGAGAGGGGATTCTTTAGGAGTAAGCATAAATTGAGAATGGGTGAGTAACTCACACAATCATCTATCATTAATAACAACTTTTCAACTGCTTTAAAACCCTTTACCTTTTTTGCTCTGTAATCCTTTGAATTAAAAGTTGTTGTGAACAATTCATTTTTTTGGCTACCGGTTTCTTAGCAAAAAACTTTAGTTTTAAAAAAACAAAAACTAAATCCATCCCGTCAAATTTAAATAATTTAATAGATATTTCGTTCTTACCGATGTACACTCTCGCGAACTGTCAAAAAAGAACTTCTCTAGAAACCTATTTTTTCTTAAATTTATTTTTTTTCTGCAAGTTTCCACTACTTCTACAATTAGTATTAAAATCAATACGTAGTTTCTCTGCGTGGGATTCTTTACACAATTGATGAGATAGAACTGTAGTACGCTTTACAGTATTCACATGGTTCATTTTTATAAGTTCCCAAGATCTGATTAACCGGAAGATATACATGACCTAAGTGTCTTCCATTTATTTAATCATTTATTCATATATTTTATGTGGGTAAGTTATGTCATCATGTATTTAATTAGTAGGGTTAAATATAATGTTTGATACATTTCCATTGGTTAGCCACCACCGGGTAGCAATACTCGGAGCTAATATGCAATATACTGAAAGTGTGGGTTTGTAACCATGAAAATGTTTATGGGGCCATGACGGTGATTAATATCCATTTAGTTGGTGACTGAAGGTTTGGACAAAAAATAATAAAAAACATTTTAAAACTTTATGTTAAACACAATTAATTACCTAATAAAATACTTTGCAGCCATTAGCTTAGAGAGGCCGAACTTTCTTCCTGATATTAAAGTGAAAAATCTCGTAAAATTCACTATTTTTATTATTATTATTGAGTAAGGGATCGTGCACTGCGACCTAAAAGATCTATTGTGTCCCTTTGTCGGGTTAGAGTATTTCTTCAAGTCCGATTTCTTTAATGAAAGACAGTATGGATCCTATCTTCCCCAGTCTTGAATCCCTATGATCCATGAAATAACCTCCTAGGTGTTTCTTTCGCTTATGCATCAGTGCCGGGCACTCCCCAAGCACATGTTATGCCGTTTCTCTCTATTCCCTGCAGTCTGAGTTGGATTGAATTCCTAACTTCGATAGGTGATTATTCAATCTGCAGTGACCGGTCAATAATCCCGTAATAATTCTTATGTTAGTTTTCGATTGTACTATGCAATCTTTAAAGCGTTTTAGGTTGTAAGTCCCTAAAAGCATTTTAGATTGTGAGAGTCTTGGTAGCATAGAGTTCTCTCTCTTTTTTCTCTGCGTCATTCATAATAATGGATAGAGCTCCTTAGCCTAGACCACAGAATGGTTCTGGGCCTATCATTCTTGATGCCGTGCCTCTACTTGCAAGTTTGTCTGCCATTTCATTACCTTGGATACCAGTATGTCCCGGAATCCATAAAAGGTGCACCTGATTGATCCCACCGAGTGTGTTCAGCTTGTCAATTCATTATTGCAATTTTACGGTTCCGGTAGTTAAAATTCACTAATAACACTCAAATTTTAAGAAAAGCTTACCGCGATGAACTACGTATAAACACTCTAATCAAGTACCGGTGATCCATCAAGTCTATGCGAGGTTTCGGTCTACCTAAATGATTTTAATTTTTGAACAAAAAGGCATTTTAGATACTTGAATTAATTACTGTAAATAGTAAATACAATACTGTTGACAAATTGTTTTTCTTATCAATCCGTTTCAGATTTTTGTCATTCTCCATTTACCTACACATCTTAATTACTTTATCAAATTTCTTAGCTGTTGTACATTTCATAGACCTTTTTATTCTGACTATTTGCAAAATTATCAAAAAAAAAATACGCACGAAGCTATATATACATAGTATATGAATATTGTATTTCGTTTATTGTATACATTAATACCTACATAAAGTATACTGGAATATGTAATATATTTGATTTAAGCTGAGCTGAGCATGAAAGCGTCAAATATCGTTAGTTCAAAGTTCTTCAACAATAAAATAATTGTGGTTTTATAATCTGAAGTATACATAACATAAAACCCAAATTGAAGTCGTAATTTATTTGCAGACTTCATTATCAGTTGTATGTTTCCTTCTTTTTTAAAAATTAATTTTAATTTTGTTTTACATTTTCAGCTAATCTCTTCATTCTCTTAATAAGTTTATGCAAATATTTATACTGATAATAGTTTAAAACTCTAATTAAATATTCAAAACGCATAACTTATGTCAGAGCCTACCAGTTTAGAGGGGAACGGGTTATGACCGCGTATTTATTATTGTTTGTTTACATTAAAAAATTCATTCATAAAAAATTATATGAAGACAATATTCATAATATTGGAATCACTTATAACATTTTGTGACGTAATTTACTTATTTTGTAATTAATATTTGAAAAAAAAGTATAAGGAATATACATTTTAATGCAACACTTGAAAATTCTTCAGAAAGATTGACACAGAGCTTTTCTGCTAAACAAATATTAGCTTCTCTTGAGTCATATGAATATATTAAAGTGCAAGATTCGCGCGGAAGTATATCTGCAATTACATCACTTCAACGCAATTTATCTTTTTTGTAAAATGTATGAAAGAAAAATTTTTATTTTTAATAAAAACCAGATTATGAAGAATCAGAAGACGCCAGTCTAGGCGTCTTTATTATCTGCAATCTTATTT